CGTTTTAGACTATGTAGGCCATATATCTACTGTACTTTATTTTGAGGCAAAGATTGCTCTCAATAACACGTCTCAGAGTTGCACTTGCCAGCCTTGGAGGTACAAGGGAGGGCCATGGCTTCATGTTAATTAAAGGCTACTCTCTTTCTAGAATTGTTCGGAAAGGAAAATAGACATTTAAGACAGCTTTAAATGCAGAGAAGAAACAAACATACCTATTTTTGAGTAGGTGAGGAAGTCTTTTGTGGTCTGACTCACTGGTGAAAACAAGAAGCAACTTGGTTTTTTGTTGGTTCGTTAGATTTATAAGCCAAACTTCTGTATAAGTATAGCATTGTTATTGTTGTGTGCGGACATGTCGACTTCATTATATGGTGGCCTCGTTGTACAATATTGTGCAGAAGGTACTAGTGCCATTGCCTTTCTCTGATGCTGAGAGAGTGTGCCCTGCTAAAATCACTCTCCTAGAGTTCCAGTCCAACATATAGACTTAGCATCTATATAAATTAAAATGTAATGTTCGTTTGTGGGATTAACAGAACTCAAAAACCACTGGACGAATTGACACCAAATTTGGACACAAGACACCTAACAACCCAATGTATGTCCTTCATTCAAAAAATTGATTTTGTCATTTGGGAATCATAGTTGCTGGGATTTATAGTACACCTACAATCAAAGAGCATTCTGAACTCCACCAATAATGGAATTGAACCAATCTTGGGACACAGGACTCCCATGACCAACAGAAAATACTAGAAGAGTTTGGTGGGCATTGGCCTTGAGTTTGGAGTTGTAGTTCACCTACATCCAGAGAGCACTTTGGACTCAAACAATGATGGATCTGGACCAAACTTAGCATGAATCCTCAATTTGCCCAAATGTGAACATTGGTGGAGTTTGGGGAAAATGTTGTTGTTGTTCATTCGTTCAGTCGTCTCCGACTCTTCGTGACCTCATGGACCAGCCCACGCCAGAGCAAATAGACCCTGACATTTAGGCAATGTAGTTTCTGGGATTTATAGTTCACCTACAATCAAAGAGCATGCTGAACCCCACCAACGACACAATTGGGGAAAACTTCCCACACAGAACCCCCATGACCAACAGAAAATACTTCAGGCCATCCAGTCCAACTCCCTTCACCAGGGCAAGAAAACGTAATCAAAGAGCCATCCAGCCATAGGTATAGATAAATATATACGATTCACACATACACAGATATAGTCAGAGGCGGCCCTAGGTAAGTTTCAACAGTAAGCAAACAGTATCCCCCCCCCCCCTCAACCAATCACTGATATATATTTTCTGTTCGAGGTGGGAGTTCTGTGTGCCATATTTGGTTCAATTCCATTATTGGTGGAGTTAAGAATGCTCTTTGATTGTAGGTGAACTATACATCCCAGTAACTACAACTCGCATATGTCAAGGTCTATTTTCCTCCAGTAGTGCCTCAAGAGCGCCCCTGGGCAAAATCAACTATACTGCAAATGCTTACTTTGCGTAATGGGTTGAGCCGCCCCTGGATATAGTATCATCGATTTGAAAGGGACCCCTAAAGAAGGACAATTATATGTCGCATGTTCCAGAGTAGGCAAACCAGACAATCTCCACATCAACACTGACATAGAAACAGCAAGGAATACTGTTTACCCACAAGCATAAAGAAATTACATATATTAGAAATCATTACTTTATTTTCCAGATCACGAGACTGGGCCACAGCAACGCGTGGCAGGGAATGGCTAGTATGCTATAAAAGAAAATATGGACATAACACTGTAAAACCTCAAAACTTGTAGACCATAATTTAGTGAGAAAATAACAAGAGAAAATATAGAAACACAAAACCTAGGAAACACAAGCATGCCAGTGCCGGTGTGAAGAAGGACTTGGGGGACCAGGGTTTAAATTACTACTCAGAACAACAAAACAACAAGAAAAAGAATACAAGTCCCCAAAGCCAAAGAGCTTGTAATTTATATTTTGGAGGGAGGGAGTGGGGAAAAGATGGAAAAATGAGGGAGAAGTAGGGTAACAAACTAATTGAAAAAGGAAGACATTGACAATTACCTTTCAAGTTTGCTTAAGGAAGCATTCCTTAACACTCACTCACTCACTCACTCACTCACTTTACAAAGGCAACTTACAAGGGCAGGTTCAGCAAATGATAGATCCCTAGACTGATATTTGATTTGGTTGGGTGAGAGTATACAACCCTGCCATATGCCTTTCCCAATCTTGCACCAGTTCATTGTTCCATGGTCAGTTCTGACTGTTGCTACTTGGTCCTTATACAGATACCTCAGGAGAGAGACAATTTAGTATGCCCATCCCACCAAGAACTTGCCACAATTTATTATGATCCACACAGTCAAAGGCTTTAGAATAGTCAATAAAACGGAAATAGATGTTTTTCTGAAACTCCCTGCCCTTCTCCATGTTTTTTTCTCATTACGTTTTAGGATATTGTTTTTAGAGGAAACTGAATTTACGTATATTTAAGATGGTGTCCTTTTTGTTATGATTGCTAAGTTTGCTGGGGAATACTTTCCAACAACATCCTAAGGGTAATGTGATTCCCTGCTGAATGGATTTTAGGGTGCTTGCATGGTGTTTTGAGTGCTGAGCTACAACTCCAGAGATTTGGGCTTGAATCCTTCACTCAGCCATAGAAATCCACTGGGGGATCTTGCGCAAGTCATACTTTCTCAGCCTCAAAGGAAGACAAGAGCAAGCCTTTTCTGAAAAAATCTTGACAAGCAACCACTGTGATAGGTTCAGCTTGGGCCCAAGGTTTAGCACAGCTGGTAAATCACCAACAATTATAGGATCTATCAACCGAAAGATTGCAAGTTTGAAGCCCCGGGTCGGCGTGAGCTGCCGACTGTCAGCCTAGATCATTGCTTACCTAAGCAACTCAAAAACAGCTTTAGCTATACTTAGAGAAATTAGGTACTGCTAAAAGTGGGGGAGGTGTTTCATAATGCCATAAAGAAAGAAGATCAGAAAATGCATCTTTCTTTATGGCATTGTGAAACATTTGAAGTCATAAAACAAAAAATATAGGATTCAGCACCAACCATTTGTAAGCCACTGCTCCAGAACAGGACATTTTGCTGCCCAAAGGCAAGGACAATAGCACCCCTTCTCCCCATTTGCCATATGGCAGATAGCTGAACTACCAGTTGAATCCTATATCAATATTAGCAACGGGATAGCATGGGTAAGAAATAAGGGGTTCAAGAACTGATCATTCCAAGACCCCCAAGGACAGTAAGAAGGATTAGGGGAAAGAGGCAAACAATGCTCTTTCCTGGAGCCAGGAGACTCTCGCTCCAACCTCCAAGCAGATGCCACTGAGGCAGTTATCTCACTCGGCTTGTGTTATCTCATTCAGTTGTGCCAGTCGTGGCCAGCCGTGGTTTCCCACAGCTTCTTGTGACAATGACAACATATGTAAAGAGAGATAGTTCATTGTTCAGAATCTTGTGATTGGCACTGCTTGGAACACTTTGTTCCAACCCTGCTGATAGTGGACACGCAATGCAAAACAAATGCCATAACCAGAAAAGGGGGAGAGAAGTGATTTCTTCAACTGCTCATTTCGTCCTTAGTTATTCATGCCTTCAAGTCATTTCTGACCTATGCGAATGTTAAGGCGAACATATCACAGTCTTCTTGGAATGTTTTGTCCAAAAAAGGTTTGTCATTGCATCCTTCTAAGGCTGAGAGAGTGTGACGCACCCCAAATCTTCTTTCTTTCTTCGGTGATCCCTCATAGCCCAAAGATGATGGTCCTCCAAGTCTTCACCCCAAATCATTAATGTCTGAACTGTATTAAATGCCTTCTGTGTTGTTCTAGTGCAGTGGTTCTCAACCTTCCTAATGCTGCAACCCCTTAATACAGTTCCTCATGTTGTGGTGACTCCCAACCATAAAATTATTTCCATTGCTACTTCATAACTGCAATTTTGCAATTGTTATGTATCGTCATATGAATATCTGATATGCAGGATGTATTTTCATTCACTGGACCAAATTTGGCACACATACCTGATACGCCCAAATTTGAATACTGGTGGGGTTGGGGGAGATTGATTTTGTAATTTGGGAGTTGTAGTTGCTGGTATTTATAGTTCACCTACAATAAAAGAGCATTCTGGACTCCACCAATGATGGAATTGAACCAAACTTGGCACACATAACTCCCATGAACAAGAGAAAATACTGGAAGGGTTTGGTGGGCACTGACCTTGAATTTTGGAGTTGTAGTTCACCTAAACCCAGAGATAACTGTGGACTCAAACGATGTTTCTGGACCAAATTGGCACAAATACTCAATATGCCCAAATGTGAACACTAGTAGAGTTTGGAGAAAATAGACCTTGACATTTGGGAGTTGTAGTTGCTGGGATGTATAGTTCACCTACAATCAAAGAGCATTCTGAACCCCACCAACGATTGAATTGAACCAAACTTGGCACACAGTTCTGCCATGACCAACAGAAAATACTGGAAGGGTTTAGTGGGCAATATCCTTTGGTGGAGTTGTAGTTCACCTACATCCAGAGATCACTGTGGACTCAAACAATGATGGATGTGGACCAAACTCTATACGAATACTCAATATGCCCAAATGTGAACACTGGAGGAGTTTGGGAAAAATAGAATCTTGACATTTGGGAGTTGTAGTTGTTGAGATTTATAGTTCACCTACAATCACAGAGCATTCTGAACCCCACCAACGATAGAATTGGGCCAAACCTCCCACACCTCCTATGTGGGCCACAGCAATGCGTGGCAGGAGACGGCTAGTTTTATACAAGAGACACCATTTAACTATGCCATTACATATAGTGGGACTTAAGCATCCAAAGGTATCCATATCAGATCTTGAATCCAAACTTCAGCAGATAGAAAAGGCCCACAGTGTGGATTTTTGTGGATATAAAGACAACTCTTCAAATAATAACAGAAGATTTTTTTTTATCCTCCAGCTCCCTTTCTCCATTTTATGCAGCAAGGGACTATCACAGCAGTCCCAAAACTAAGGCCTGCGGGCTGAATACAGCCCCCAAGGTAATTTACTTAGCCTAGTCCTAAACTTTAATCTTAGGGTCACCTTGAGATTGAAACAACTTGAAGGCACACAACTATCCTGTGGGGAAGAGAGAGAGGGCCTTTTCGGTGATGGCCCCTCGACTCTGGAACTCACTCCCTAAAGACATCAGACAGGCTCCAACTCTGGCAGTCTTCAGGAGGAGCTTGAAGACGTGGCTGTTCCAGTGTGCCTTCCCGGAATAATGATCCCATAGCACTTTGTCCTCCAAAGCATTTTACATTTCTTTAAGTCTGCTCGTATGCCCTTCCACAAACACCACTATCACCTTTCGTTCATGTCCCAGCATTATTTCCAATTTTAACTCTACATTTGGCCTTCCCACTGTTTTTAATTATGTGTTGTTTTATTGATAATGCTGTGTATTTTATTGTCTATGTGTTTTTAAACTGCTTGTATTGTTGTTATTATTGCTTGTATTGTTGTGTTTTGGCCCGGCCTCATGTAAGCCGCACCGAGTCCCTTGGGGAGATGGTAGCGGGGTACAAATAAAGTGTTATTATTATTATTATTATTATTATTATTATTATCCTAATTAACTTCATTATCTCCAAAACGATCCTATCCTAATTAACTTTATTATCTCCAAAAGCAGGACCACATTTCCCAATTAAATACTGGTGGGTTTATGTTGGTTAAAATTGTTACTCATTTTAAATATTAATGTTTTTTGCACTACAAATAAGATATGTGCAGTGTGCATAGGAATGTGTTCATATTTTTTTTTTCAAACTATAGTCAGGTCCCCCAACAGCCTGAGGGACCATGAACCGGCCCTCGGCTTGCAAAGTTTAAGGAACCTTGGACTAATGCATAGTCTTTGAAAACTACAAAGACGAGAAATCGTTCAACATAGTGATGAGGGAACTTAAGTCAGTAGACAATCTCAGTCATCATGATGCCGTCTCACTGCTTTAATTTTTCTCCAAACAGCAGCAGATTTGGGTGCCATGGCCTCTCTCCTGCAGTGCTGTCCGTTCTTCACCCGGGATCCAGCCACTGTCCTGCACAAACTGCGTCCCTTGCTGGTCCGCAGTGCTCAGCGCTGCCCTGCCTTTATGACTCGCAGTTTCTCCCAGTCTGTTGCCAACCTACAGCATGGAAAGGAGACTCCTGGGGACACGGGTAAGCCAATAGAGGGAATGGAGAGACTAGGGATCTGGGGGTTTGAGAGGGAACACGTACAGGTGAGATGGACTCTTTCAACACCATACACACTTTATGTATGGTCAATACATTTGGAAGAAAAGCAGTTGGCCCTCTACTTTTGCAGGAATTAGGCATGCAGGTTGCACAGAAAAGTGAGAAAACTGTAAATTAAATAAAATCCAATGTTTTAAACTGAGAGAATACCTCCCCAGGAATTTCTAGTTTCTGGAGATTACTCTACTTATTATTTATTTTACTTACAGCTTTTATATTCCTCCCTTCTCACCCCGCAGGGGACTCAGGGCGGATTACAGTGTACACATATATGGCAAACATTCAATGCCAATTTTGACATACAACATATACAGACATACACAGAGGCTATTTAACTTTTTCTGGCCACCAGGGGAGCTGTCGCTTTCATCGTCCATCTGCGACGCTGATGAAGCACTTCCGCATTCCCGCATGCTTCCCTGCTGGAATGCTTTGCTGGAGTCTTCTTTATGGCCTCATAAATTAGTTAATTTAGCCTCCCCACACTTTAAGGTGGTACCTTATTTTCCTACTTGACAGATGCAACTGTCTTTCGGGTTGCAAAGGTCGACAACAGGCTACACAATGGTTGGAAACCCACTCCAACCAGGGCTGGCTTCGAACTCATGACCTTTTGGTCAGAGTGATCTTAATGCAGCTGACACTCAGCCAGCTGCGCCACAATCCCGGTGCACCAGATCTTGACCATAGAATTGCAATGGAGGAGCTACCAATGCCTGGAGTTGTGGGTCCCGACCACAAATGGAGTCCCCTTAGCTCAATGGTCATAAAAAAAAATTCTGAATGTCGCCTAGTGGCTGTTTTAAACATTTACATGATTCTGTTATGCAATGAGTATTGTGAACTCTACTTACATTAATCCGTTATGCAATGTGTATAGTAGACTCTAGAGAAGATGCTTCAGTTGTACTTCATAAAAAGGGAAATCATCCTGTTTACCACACCTTGCAAATGCTGATAGGTTATCAGTAAATGTTTATGGAGCCCCCGGTGACACAGTGGGTTAAACCCCTGTGCCGGCAGGACTGAAGACCGACAGGTCGCAGGTTCGAATCCGGGGAGAGGCGGATGAGCTCCCTCTATCAGCTCCAGCTCGTCATGCAGGGACATGACAGAAGCCTCCCACAAGGATGATAAAAACATCAAATCATCCAGGCATCCCCTGGGCAACGTCCTTGCAGACGGCCAATTCTCTCACACCAGAAGCGACTTGCTCCTGACACGACAAAAAAAATCAGTAAATGTTTAATTTTTATAACTACATACAGTCCCCAAGTTAAAAACATCTGACTTACTAACAACTCTTACTTAAGAATGGGGTGAGGCAACAAGAGGTGAGAGAAATCTACCCCTTGGAAGGGAAATTCACTCCTGAAAGAGTTATCATGGAGAAAATGTGTCTTTGTTGAAGCTTTATCAACAATCTTTGTTCCCACAACAAACAATTTTTTTTTTCAAAATCCAATTATTACAGAAATAATAAATGAGGTGTAATCTTCTGAACAGGGGCACAGGCAGAAAACCAACCCCACCCCAAAGGATGTAAGCCCTTCCCTATGTTGTCCAAAGTTGAATGGATGGATGGATGGATGGATGGATAAATGGATGGATGGATGGATGGATGGATGAATAAATAGATGGATTGATGGATGGATGGATGGATAGATGGATAGATAGATGGATGGATGGAAATGGATGGATGGATGGGTGGTGGTGGATATACACACACACACAAAACACATATACACAGACTGGGCCACATGGCAGGGGATGGCTAGGATAGATAGATAGATAGATAGATAGATAGATAGATAGATAGATAGATAGATAGATAGATAGATAGATAAATGGGTGGGCCGGCTGGCTGGTTGGCCGGCCAGCTGGCCAGCAGGTAGACAACTAGAATAACACTTTAAAATGTACCTGCTCTGACTTACAAATTCAACTTAAGAACAAACCTACAGAACCTGTCTTGTTCATAACTGGGGGACTTCCTGTATTGTATATACTTATATGCCTATGGTCACATACACATTTATCAGTTTAAGGAGTCCTAAGTGGAAAAGTTTAAGAAGCTCTGTGCTCGAGGATCTAGATTTCCTACAGTGTCCACATATCATATAGGATTACGTAACAGATCACACAGGATTCCAGCAGATATCTTCCTGAATGGCCCATACCAATCCAGCCTGTAGATAAGCAGCTCACAGAACTGAATCCTTTCCCATACCAAATAGAAAATGAACGGATATAAGAACACTCTGCTGACACCTAGTGTACTATCTGGATGGAGAATGCCTGGTGTGGAAGAAGCATTTCATCATGTGAATCCCCATTTTCGGTCTAGTTTAAGACTGCTTGTGAGCCTTGTCATTAAAAAAAGGAGATTCATAGACTAATCCCAATTTGAAATGACAATTAATCCTCCTGAATAAGATTAGAACAGTGTTTCTCAACCTGGGGGTTGGGACACCTGGAGGGGTCATGAAGGGGTTTCATAGGGGTCGCCAAAGACCATCAGAAAACACATTTCTGATGTTCTTAGGAATCCCTTTGGCATAGTCATTTGGGTTTACAGTGTTCTTTGGATGTAGGTGAACTACATCTCCCCTAAATCACTGTCAATTCATCCCAAATCTCTCCAGAATTTTCTGCTGGTCATGGGGGTCTCTGTGTGGGAAGTTTGGCCCAATTCTATCTTTGGTGGGGTTCAGAATACTCTTTGATTGTAGGTGAATGATAAATCCCAACAACTACAACTCCCAAATGTCAAAGTCTATTTTGCTCAAGCTCCACCAGTGTTCACATTTGGGCATATTGAGTATTCATGCCAAGTTTGGTCTGGATCTATCATTGTTTGAGTCCACCGTGCTCTCTGGATGTAGGTGAACTATAACTCCAAAACTCAAGGTCAATGCCCACCAAACCCTTCCAGTATTTTCTGTTGGTCATGGGAGTTTTGTGTGTCAAGTTTGGTTGAATTAATTCCGCACACTGCACTTGCCCTATAATCCTTGTATACCACCTGCCACATTAGCACTTTTAATCCTGTACCCATTACTCTGGCCCGGCCCAGTTTTTATTGTGTCTTGATATACTGTCTATTGCATGTCGTCAATATTGCTTTAACTGTTTTTAATTTTGCTTTTGGTGTTATTTTGTTTGTGTTGTGTTTTGCGGCCTCGGCCTTTGTAAGCCGCATCGAGTCCTTCGGGAGATACTAGCGGGGTACAAATAAAGTTAATAATAATAATAATAATTCCTCACTCAGAGCCCAGGCTGTTTACAGGAATTGAATCCAAAGACTATAAATGCTGATAGGAAATCAAAACAGAACCGATAGCTACCAATTAGAATTGAATTAAAACATCATAACACCTGATGAAGACATTGCGAAACAAGGGAAACAACCCGGGAGACCTTGTTGTGTGTCACTGTCACTGATGTTGTTTATGGAAGAAGATCTTTCGACAACATAGAAAGTGTTATTTTGTGCCACTGTGCCTGACATTGTTTAACTGTTATTTTGGAAGCTCTAGTTTCACTGTATTGACAAAGTATTGATAAACCGTGTGTCACTGTCTCTGATGTTGTGTATGGAAGAAGATCTTTCGACAATATAGAAAGTGTTATTTTGTGTCACTGTGCCTGACATTGTTTAATTGTTATTTTGGAAGCTCTAGTTTCACTGTGTTGACAAAGTATTGAAAAATTTATTGTCGAAGGTTTTCATGGCTGGAATCACTCAGTTCTTGTGGGTTTTTTCGGGCTATATGGCCATGTTCTAGAGGCATTTCTCCTGACGTTTCGCCTGCATCTATGGCAAGCATCCTCAGAGGTGAGGTCTGCTGGGACTGGGAAAAAAGGGGTTTATATATCTGTGGAATGACCAGGGTGAGACCACCCTGGTTTATATATCTGGGTTTATATATCTGTGGAATGACCAGGGCGTCTCACCCTGGTCATTCCACAGATATATAAACCCCTTTTTTCCCAGTTCCAGCAGACCTCACCTCTGAAGATGCTTGCCATAGATGCAGGCAAAATGTCAGGAGAAATGCCTCTAGAACATGGCCATATAGCCCGAAAAAACCCACAAGAACTGTATTGAAAAATTATCTTCTATTTATAAACAGTCTTTAATTAATCGTGTGAATGTTTTCATGTTACATTCAATGTAGAAATTCTGGGAACATAGAAATTGTGATTTGCAATCTACAGTTTTTGTAATTGTTGTTATAGATATCTGTGCATGTTACACAAGTTTGGTTGAATGCCTACAACTCCACCAAAGGATATTGCCCACTAAACCCTTCCAGTATTTTCTGTTGGTCATGGCAGAACTGTGTGCCAAGTTTGGTTCAATTCAATCGTTGGTGGGGTTCAGAATGCTCTTTGATTGTAGGTGAACTATAAATCCCAGCAACTACAACTCCCAAATGACAAAATCAAACCCCCCCAACCCCACCAGTATTCAAAATTAGCATATCGGGTATTTGTGCCAAATTTGGTCCAGTGAATGAAAATACATCCTGCATATCAGACATTTACATTACAATTCATAACAGTAGCAAAATTACAATTATGAAGTAGCAACGAAAATAATTTTATAGTTGGGGGTCACCACAACATGAGGAACTGCATTAAGGGGTCGCGGCATTAGAAAGGTTCAGAACCACTGGATTAGAAGGTAATGTCTGAATATCATGTAGGAGGGAACATGAATCAGAGGTGGAGTATATGCTTTTCCTAAAAAGGTTTCCGCATATGCCTCTTAAAGAATCAATTATTAGACAACAGAAGAAAAATCTCTCCAGCTGAAATTGTGCAGTCCAAATGTTGTGGTTGTTATTACACTATTTCATATCCTCCAACATTTTACAAATGAAAACTGAGATATGCGTGGTCCTGTAACATCAGAACGTGGTAAACATTATTAACGAGGGAAAGGCACAAAAGCCAAGAGAGGCTGCAGAAGTTTGCTTTTGCCTGAAACAATTGGGAAGGACAAGACTCGTCCTTTTCCTGCAGTTGGGTTGGACTGCAGCTTCCACTATCTCAGCTAACTTATGGAAAGGACAATATCAGATTAGATATCTGTAATTGATTAGGCAACTGAACCCAAAGGATGTTCACCAATAGTTCATCTTCATCCTGGAAAGAAGTGGAGTCCTGCAGGGTTCGATCCTGGGCCCAGTACTGTTCAACATCTTTATTAATGACTTGGATGATGATTTAGAGGGCGTGCTTATCAAGTTTGCAGATGAAGACAAATTAGGACAGGCAGATAATACTCCAGAGAACAGGATCAGAATTCAAAATGACCTTAACAGATTAGAGAGCTGGGCCAAAACTAACAAAATGAATTTCAACAAGGACAAATATAAGATACTCCACTTAGGCAGAAAAAATGCAATACAAATATAGGATGGGTAATGCCTGGCTTGATAACAGTCCGTATGAAAAAGATCTTGGAGTCTTCGTGGACAACAAGTTGAATATGAGCCAACAGTGTAATGCAGAAGCTTAAAAAGACATTGTGATTTTGGGTTGCATCAAAAGGAGTATAGTGTCTAGATCAGTGGTTCTCAACCTGGGGTCCCCAGATATTTTTGGCCTACAACTCCCAGAAATCCCAGCCAGTTTACCAGCTGTTAGGATTTCTGGGAGTTGAAGGCCAAAAACATCTGGGGACCCCAGGTTGAGAACCACTGGTCTAGATCAAGGGAAGTCATGGTGCCTCTCTATTTGGTTTTGATTAGACCTCACCTGGAATAACAGTGTCCAATTCTGGGCATCACAATTTAAGAGGGATATTGACAAGCTGAAAGGTGTTCAGAAGAGGGCAACTAAAATGATTAAAGGTCTGGAGACCATGAATCCCTATGAGGAGCGTCTTAAAGATCTGGGCATATTTAGCCCGCAGAAGAGAAGATTGAGAAAAGACATGATAGCCATGTATAAATATTTGAAAATATGTTATAAGGAAGAGGGAGCAGGCTAAGCATTGACTTGGAAACTAAGACTCAGAGCAATGGGTTCAAATTACAGGAAAGGAGATTCCACCTGAATATTAGGAAGAACTTCCTGGCCATAAGAGCTGTTCAACAGTTGAATGGTTGCCTCAGTATCTGGTGGGGGCTCCTTCTTTGGAGGCTTTTAAATAGTGGCTGGATGACGGTCTGCACACCACACTTATCTCCAAAAACCCATCCATCTCACCTGTCATGTTCAGCATTTTAAAATTTTAATCATTACATTTCGCCCAGCCTTAGTTTTAAATGTGTCATGGTGTTATTGTCTAATGTTTATTGCTATTGTTTTAATGTTTATTGCTTTTTTTGAGTTTATTTATTGTTGTATTTGTTATGCTGTTGTTTTATTGATGTGTTGGGGCTCGGCCTCTTGTAAGCCGCACTGAGTCCTTCGGGAGATGTTAGCGGGGTATAAATAAAGGTTTATTATTATTATTATTATTATTATTATTATTATTATTATTTATTGTCATACAATTGGACTGGATGGCCCCTGTGGTCTCTTCTAACTCTATGATTCTATGAAAGCTTCCAGTGAGATAGAAGGCCAGGAGATAAAGCACAGAGCTTGGCAGGTGTAAATATACTTTGTAAAAAGGAGCTTCTTTGTCAGGTTTTGTTAACTGAGGTTTGTTCAAGTCTCATTTCAATACAGGCATGTAGCCGGGGGGGGGGGGGGGGGGGCTTGAGGGGCTTCCCCCCCCCCCCGAAATTCTCATGGTGGTTCGCGAAAAGGCCTTACTGGTGCATTATTTAAACTGTTATGTTTATTCATATCATGATCTGATCACCATACTCAATATATCCCATATGCATGGGAGTATTGGGGTAATGATACAAAAAGTTTGCTAGGCTAGACCCTCTTTCACTCAGACTCAGCCCCCCCCCCCCCGAAACTCAGCCCCCCCAACCCCCCTGAAAAAAATTCGCCCCCCCCCAACAAAATCCTGGCTACGGGCCTGTTTCAAGTTGATCAACATTGAGATGACAATTTTAAAAAGAAATTAAGTCCTAAGTGAGACCAGAATGCACAGCTTCTCCTCTCTCTTTATGTCCTCCAGCCTCCGTTCTGCAGGCGGTGCCTGCCTCTGTGCCCACCACCCAGTGCCCTTTTATAGAATCAGAGCGCCAAAGTGGCCGGAATACCTTTGTGCAAGTGGCAAAACCCGAGGTCCAAGAGGATGTCTGGCCTTCCAAGACAGGTAAGTAAGGAAAGCTTTCCAATGCTAGGGATGGGAAAGAATTTATCTGCCTTCTCCCATTTCTAACCGATGTTGCCCTTACTCTTTAGGGGTGCTGAGCTCTCTCTTTAGGGAGGTACAATCCAGTCTCAAGAAAAAGCTACATCACTCTGATGAAGTCTCACATCTCCTCCAGGACAACATGCTAGGTCAGTGGATGGGGGAGATCTCCCCGCTACCTTGTCTATGTGTTCTCAGGATCCCCGCTGGAAATGTAAGGGATCACGGGTTTAGGGTGCGGGGTCCCTTTTCGAAGAAATCCACAGAATCCAATAGGTTCATGTAAGACACCATTTATTCAAGCTGATCAGCATGAGGTGAACTGGCAGCACTTCTGTAAGTGCTTTCACAGACTGTCGCGCCCCTCCTCGGCTTTTGCAAACCTTTATACTCAAGTAATACAAGGGTTTTTTGGTCATGGAAAGTACTCTCTTTCCAGCCCCTCTCCCTTGACCTTTTGATGGAAAGTACCTTCTTGCACCTGCAGACTTTGCGCTTAACCACAACCCAACTTCCAATGTAAGCTCGAACTTTGTATAACCTCTACATGTCACCTCTTGTTTTTAAAACATTTTCTTCCGTGTTGCTCCTTTTCTGCAGAGAAAGGGTATATTTCTCCTTTGTTGCTAATTTCATTCAAAGCCCCTTGCTTATCTATTGCTAATTTTATCAAAGACCCTATCAGTAATATTGTCACAAAATATATGATGTATGGTTTGAATGGAATTGTATGAAAGGTGTATGAATGGGGCCTAATTGGGCTGAAGCCACAATTCTAAAATGTTGAAGCTGGAAAACAACTACACTCAGGAACTATAATTAAAAGTTGCTGAACTGCTGACATTGATGAACTGCGACAAATGATTAATTGTTGACATTGCTGACTTGATTAACTTTTGGGGGGAACCAATGTGTTTACATTAGTCAGAAACAACGATGATGGACAGGTGACTTGCCCTATGACTGCAACCAAAGGAAGCCACCTTTCTGCAGAACCCCTGAAACCTAGGACTGCAAGCAAACATTTGATACAAAGCAAATAAAGTTGGAGCTCCTGGTACAGCCGTACCAGCACAGGCCCTGAGAAGTATTTTGAGCTGGATTTTAATTTGTCTACTACTATTCCAAACCTTTTATCTGGCTTGCAACCCCTGACTTGCCAAATAGTAGAATTATTTGCTTTCTAAAATCTCAATACCTTGTGTTCCATCTATCATATACCAGACTCTGCTCCCTTGTACTGTTGGCTTTCATGGCCAGAATCACTGGGTTGCTATGAGTTTTTTAGACTGAATGGCCATGTTCCAGCAGCATTCTCTCCTGACATTTCACCTGCATCTGTGGCTGGCATCTTCAAGGGTTCTGTTGGCAGTGAATTGAGTGGAGTGTATATATACTTATAGAATGTCTACTCCCTTGCCTGCTTAAAGATGCCTGTCAGGGTGGTAATGTACTAAATATTAACCAGAAAACTTCCTATAACTATCAAACCCATTGTTGTTTCCCACCCACCAGCTGCTTTTCAGTTGTCAGTCATCAGGGCCAAATAAACTAAATATTATGCATTCCAGGTGTCATCCACGTCTCTATGATTTCCTCACAGGGAGTGCCACGTTTGGTTATGATGCCTTCTTTGAGGCCAAGATACAGACAAAGAAGAAAGATCACACCTACCGGGTCTTCAAGACAGTGAATCGCCGAGCTGATGCCTATCCGTTTGCTGACGACTATTCAAGCTCTCAGGTTGAATCACAAGAGGTGTCCGTTTGGTGCAGCAATGACTATCTGGGAATGAGTCGCCACCCTCGAGTCTTGCAGGCCATCCAGTGAGTGTCAGGGGGGTCTTAATTCTGTGCTTGTTGCAAGCATACTGAGAGGCGGCCCTAGGTAATTTTCAATGGAAAGCAAACAGTATTTTGGCACCACCCCCCCAACCAATCACTGATATATATATTTTCTGTTTGTTGTGGGAGTTCTGTGTGCCATATTTGGTTCAATTCCATCATTGGTGGAGTTCAGAATGATATTTGATTGTAGGTGAACTATACATCCCAGTAACTACAACTCGCATATGTCAAGGTCTATTTTCCCCCAAGAGCGCCTCAAGAGCGCCCCTGAGCAAAATCGACTATACTGCAAATGCTTACTTTGTGTAATGGGTTGAGCCGCCCCTGGGCATACTCAACCTCATCCGAATAGGTGCAGCATGCCTCATTTACGCTGAGCCATCCTAAGGACCGGTTGATGAGCGGGATCAGCAAATGTTGCCCCTCCACAAATTCAAGCCCAGGTGCATTGGTCTAAAGTTAATCTTTTGGTACTGGCTTGACACTCCAGATCACATGTGTCAAACGGAAGGCCCATAGTCCAAATCTGGCCCTCCATATCATTTTACCCTTCAAATGCTGTACTACAACTCCTGTATTCCTCATTATTACACATCATGATTAAAACTGATGGGAGTTGTTTTTTTTAATAAAAATGTTTATTTTGATTATGGTACATAACAGAAAAGCAAATCGTGGCAGATATAATTGGGTACCAATATTTTTGACGTGTACATGCCTATCTACCTTATTCAATCAACCAGTTAATTTTGACATTGAGTACAAATTATTATCATTTACATAACTTAATACACATAGACTTACTATTTCTGCCTGTTTCCCACTACTTTCAGTCAAAGCTTTCTATTCAATTTTTTCCCATAACATTCAGAAAATCAGCACATAGCATTTTACACACATCAGACCATACACTCATCCCAAAACCCCTATCTAAACAAAATAAAACCTCTTCCCCACACCCGTGCACCCTTCACCATGACTTCCAACACCGAAACACTATGAAGCCTTTAAGCCTATTTATCTCTCCTTATTCATGGTAACCCTAAATTCCTAATGGAGCTCCTCTATATTACTGACTCTCTATTCAGATATGCCATGGCCAACTTCCATTTTTCTAAAAAGTCCTCATTGCTCTTATTCCTCCTGTTATAAGTTAGTCTGGCCATTAGCATATATTCTCGCATTATTTCCCTCCAATCCTTTTTGGTTAGACCTTTTTCCCCTTTCCAGTCTTTGGCTATGGTTAATCTTGCCGCTGCAAAGCTATATTGATATATTTCTTGGTCCTTTTGTTTGTTGTTTTCTCTATGTAGACTTAGGAGACACAATCCTGGGCTTTTTAAACAACCCAGTGATTCTGGCCATGAAAGCCTTTGACAATACATTCTTACCACTATGTCTTATCAGCATCCCATTATCAGTTGCTGCTACAGCCCCAGCACACCAGTAAGACCTGTTGTTGCATTTTCTTGTAGTAGGCATCTAGGTCCAAAAGACTGCCACTGGGATCTCTAACGGTGGCCAGGTAACACATCCTCATGTTCATCTTCAACAGAAGTAGGGCTTTTAAAAAGTTAATGGATCTTAATGCACAGGATCACACTACCTCAAAATATTATGCATAATTCAAAAGAGGCATTATTTATTTATTTATTTATTTATTTATTTATTTATTTATTATTTGTTTCGAACAATCCTACCCCACCCTTCTCAACCCCTGGGGGGACTCAGGGCGGCTTACAATTGGCAATAATTCAGTGCCGCATCATAAAATACAGAATACAGAATAACAAATATAACAATTAACATGAACATTAATAAATAAAGATTAAAACAGCATACTTACACTCTGATTAGCTATTGCCCATCTGGTGGCTGTTTAGCTAGCCATCTACTAATGAATACTCCACTTAACTTATCCAAATCCTCTTCCATGCCATAGTCAAACATTATCCATTGTCCTTTAACCTGATTGTCCGAAGGCCTGGTCCCACAGCCACGTGTTAACCTTTTTTCTAAAGGTGAGGAGGGATGACGATGACCTAATTTCCCTGGGGAGCAAATTCCACAGGTGGGGGGCCACCACCGAGAAGGCCCTGTCCCTCGTCCCCGCCAAGCGTGTTTGAGACAAAGGCGGGGCCGAGATCAGGGCCTCCCCAGGCGATCTTAAGCCCCGAGGCGGGACGTAGAAGGAGATATTCAGACAGGTACGCTGGACCGGAGCCGTATAGGGTTTTAGAGGTCAAGACCACCACTTTGAATTGTGCTTGGAATTGGATCGGCAGCCAGTGGAGCTGGCACAGCAGGGGGGTGGTATGCTCCCTGTATGATGCTCCAGTGAGTAATCTAGCTGCCGTCCATTGGACTAATTGCAATTTCCGAACAAAGGCAACTCCACGTAGAGCGTGTTGCAGTAATCTATTCGCGATGTGACAAGAGCGTGGGCCACCGTAGCCAGATCCAGGGATGTAGTTTCATGGTGTGCCAGAAAAGATTTCTAGTATGCTAAATTAGACCTTTCCTCTTGAATAAGATTTTCATTTTCCTCTTCTACCCCAGGGAGACGCTGCAGCTATATGGAGCAGGAGCAGGGGGCACCAGGAACATTTCAGGTACCAGCAAGTTCCATGTGGACCTGGAGCAAGAACTGGCCAGCTTGCACGCCAAAGACGCTGCCCTGCTCTTCTCATCTTGCTTCGTGGCCAACGACTCCACTCTCTTCACCTTGGCCCGCATGATGCCAGGTAGCAATGCATCTTACAGCCTGGGAAGCAAGGTTTTCATCCTTCCCCAAAGCGGTGGAAGAGAGAGCCAGCCAATACGTGCTACCTGTAGGCTCCTTTCTCTCTTGCAGGATGTGAGATCTACTCAGATGCTGGAAATCACGCCTCTATGATTCAAGGGATTCGAAATAGTGGGGTTCCTAAATATGTCTTCCGCCACAATGACCCCCAACACCTGGAAGAGCTCCTGAGCAAGGCCAAACCTGACCTTCCAAAGATTGTTGCCTTTGAGACTGTGCACTCCATGGATGGTAAAACACTACCCATTCTGTCTTTCTATACTTTGTTCTTTCCACTGGGACAACCCTACCATTGGGCTTTGCTATTCATTCGAATTGGGTCCGGTAAATGAATGGCAGCCAGTGGAGCTCCCTCCTGTTCAAGGAGCTCCACTGGCTGCTATTCACTTACCGGACCCAATTCAAGGTGCAGGTTCTTACCTACAGGGCCCTGAATGGTTTGGGACCCACCTACCTGTGTGACCACATCTCTGTATACGAACCCACACGATCCCTTCGATCATCCGGGGAGGCCCTGCTCTCGATCCCACCAGCATCGCAGGCGCGGTTGGTGGGGACGAGAGAGAGGGCCTTTTCGGTGGTGGCCCCTCGACTCTGGAACTCACTCCCTAAAGCAGGGGTCCTCAAACTAAGGCCCGCGGGCCAGATGTGGCCCTCCAAGGTCATTTACCCGGCCCTTGCTCAGGGTCAACCTAAGTCTGAAACAACTTGAAAGCACACAACAACAACAAACCTATCTCAACAGTCAAAAGCAGGCCCACACTGCCCACTGAAATACTAATAAGTTTATATTTGTTAAAGTTGTTCTTCATTTTGTATTACTGTATTGTTTTTAAGTGTTTTTGCACTACAAATAAGATATGTGCAGTGTGCATAGGAATTAATTCATTTTTTTTTTCAAATTATAATCCGGCCCTCCAACAGTTGGAGGGACTGTGACCTGGCCCTCTGTTTAGAAAGTTTGAGGACCCCTGCCCTAAAGACATCAGACAGGCCTCAACCTTGGCAGTCTTTAGGAGGAGCTTGAAGTCGTGGTTGTTCCAGTGTGCCTTCCCGGAATAATGATCCCATAGCACTTTGTCCTCCAAAGCACTTTACACTTTTTAGATCTGGTCGTATGCCCTTCCACAAACGCCACTATCACCTTTTATCCATGTCCCAGCATTATTTCCATTTTAACTTTACATTTAGCCTTCCCACTGTTTTTAATTGTGTGTTGTCTTATTGATAATGTTGTATATTTTATTGTCTATGTTTTATTTTAATTGCTTGTACTGTTGTTGTTTTGCTTGTATTGTTGTATTCGGGCTCGGCCTCATGTAAGCCGCACCGAGTCCCTTGGGGAGATGGTAGCGGGGTACAAATAAAGTGTTGTTGTTGTTGTTGTTGTTATTCAGTCGTTTCCGACTCTTCATGACCTCATAGACCAGCCCACGCCAGAGCTCCCTGTTGGCCGTCACCACCCCCAGCTCCTTCAAGGTCAATCCAGTCACTTCAAGGATGCCATCCATCCATCTTGCCCTTGGTCGCCCCTCTTCCTTTTTCCTTCCATTTTCCCCAGCATCATTGTCTTCTCTAAGCTTTCCTTTCTTCTCATGATGTGGCCAAAATACTTCATCTTGGCCTCTACTATCCTTCCCTCCAATGAGCAGTCGGGCTTTATTTCCTGAAGTATGGACTGGTTGGATCTTCTCGCAGTCCAAGGCACTCTCAGAACTTTCCTTCAGCACCACAGTTCAAAAGCATCTATCTTCCTTTGCTCAGCCTTCCCTATGGTCCAGCTCTCACATCCGTAGGTGACTATGGGGAATACCATTGCTTCATGGATCTTCGTTGCCAGACAATTGGGCTAGAGATGGCAAATGTTTACCTTAACATGTGAGGGCATGGAGGTTAAGACCAACACATTATGAGTCTAGCTACTTGTCAGCATCCCTAAGATGAATTGGGGGGATGGCAGAAGGCAAAAGAAATCTCTTTGGCCTGGAAAGTGAGACTTACATATAGCTCAAGATGTAGGAACAGAAGGAATAGGAAGCAAGCATCTTTAGGGTTCTTCCTAACACTTCTCTTTTGCCTACAGGTGCTATCTGTCCCTTGGAGGAAATGTGTGATGTGGCGCACCGCTATGGAGCCATTACTTTTGTGGATGAGGTCCATGCTGTGGGGCTGTATGGGACCCATGGCGCTGGCATCGGAGAACGCGATGGAGTGATGGGCAAAATAGACATCGTCTCTGGTACTTTGGGTAAGTCTGGGTAAAACCAAAGCCCAAGGAAGACGGGAAATGTGGACTGCCGCTTCCATTACAGAGGTTTCCCAGTGGGAAGTGTACACTACAAAGCAGCAGAGGATGGGTTAAGAATACAGCTGGAGCCAGCTTGGACGTGGGTTGTTTTTTGCTAAATTAAAACTCCTAAAATCCCTACAAAGTATGACAATCCACATCAGCCTGTACATTATTTTGTTTTAAATGCACGAATATTTGCATTTTGCTGTCTCTCTTAATGTAAAATTTTCAGTATACAGCTTTCCCTAATACACACATTTCTGTATGGCAATTTTTGTTAACGCAATAATTTTATTTGAAATTTTTTGGTTGAAACAAAAAATCTGAAGATAGGCATAATCAAAAAAACGACATTCTGATTGACATATTAGTTCTAGAAACATATTGCCTGAAAACAATGAAAAACATTATTTCCCACTGGGTTGTTGTAGGTTTTTTCGGGCTATATGACTATGGTCTAGAGGCATTCTCTCCTGACGTTTCGCAAGCATCCTCAGAGATATTGAGGTCCATAGATGCTTGTCATAGATGCATAGATGCAGGCGAAACGTCAGGAGAGAATGCCTCTAGACCATGGCCATATAGCCCGAAAAAACCTACAACAACCCAGGGATTCCGGCCATGAAAGCCTTCGACAATACATTATTTCCCATTCCGAGTTAAGAAGTTGTGGCTGAATGGGAGAAGAATATCATGGTGTGTTTTTCCAAATGAGATGGCCAATATGATGCTAGAGAAGTGTAATAAGCTGCAAGGTGTGTTCTGGATCCAGAGCAATGCCCGAGATCAGTGATTCCTAACCATTCGTTCTCTGGGTATTTGGGACTTCAACTCCCAAAGGCAAAGCCAGCTTGGTCGAATGTCAGGAATTCTAAGAACTGAAATCCAAAACATTTAGAAGACTAAAAGATGGCAACTACTGATCTAGACCATTAACTCCTGACTTCCAAGCAGAATTCTGCATTGTCAATCTATATAAATAAAAATGTAATGTTTGTTTGTGGGATTAACATAACTCAGAAACCACTGATAAAACTCATAAAAACACTGAAAACACAACAGAAGGGACTTTAAAAGCCAAAAAAACAACAATTACATTACAACGCATGCGCAAAACCACATAAATACACATGCAAACATACATATACACAAATATATACTCACACAAATACACAGACTGAGCCATAGCAACTTATCACTGAGCCTGGAACCCCAGGTTTCAGCGGTGACCAGGGGAGCATTTGCACAGCTAAAGCTTGTGCGCCAGCTGCGCCCGTACCTTGGGAAGTCTGACTTGGCCACGGTAGTCCATGCTCTGGTTACATCCCGTTTAGACTACTGCAACGCTCTCTACGTGGGGTTGCCTTTGAAGACAGCTCGGAAGCTCCAACTAGTCCAACGCTCGGCAGCCATGATTTTAACAGGAGCGGAGCGCAGGGAGCATACAACCCCCCTGTTGCGCCAACTCCACTGGCTGCCGATCTGCTACCGGGCTGAATTCAAAGTGCTGGCGTTGGCCTTTAAAGCCCTAAACGGTTCTGGCCCAAGCTACCTATCTGACCGCATCTCTGCCTATGAACCCACCAGGACTTTGAGATCTTCCGGGGAGACCCTGCTCTCGATCCCGCCTGCTTCTCAAGCTCGGCTGGTGGGGACGAGAGATAGGGCCTTCTCGGTGGTGGCTCCTCGGCTGTGGAACGCCCTTCCTACGGACATTAGACTAGCACCATCTCTAATGGTATTCCGCAAAAAGGTGAAGACCTGGATGTTTGTGCAGGCGTTTGAGTAATTTAGTGCAATCTGGTAATGGAACATAGGAATGGAACAATGGACGACAAACCTGGACTACGCTTGGATGATGAGAAGATTGGGTACGGTTGTTTTTGTTTTTTGTAAGAGACTTTAAAAGCCAAAAAACAAAAAATACATTCAATGCATGCGTAAAACCACACATATACACAAACACACATATATGCACATATACACAAATACACACACGCACATATATACACACAAAATACATATACACAGACTGAGCCACAGCAACACATGGCAGGAGACGGCTAGTGATTTATATAAAAAAATAGGCATTTTTATCAAAAATTTTACTTTTCTATTTCTAAGGAGGAAAAACACTCCACGTGGATATCATTCATGGATTTCTAATCCATGCATATGGATTAACAAAACTAACTAACAAAAGAATCAGTCACTCTTCTTCTACTGATTGGGAGCAGATTGATTCCACACAAGTTAGAAAAAGGAAAATAAAAAATTCCAGTAGAGACAGGATTTAAATGCTCTACCCACTACATTGCCTTATTCCCCAACAAGCAGAAAAAATATGCAAAATGAACAACACAAATATGCTTTGTTTGCATCAATCAGATTTCGGAATCCAATTTTACCAGACACACAATCTGAATTACAGAACTTGGGGCAGATATGTTTTCAGAAAACTGTAAAGACAATGATACAGGCCTACCTCAAACAATCACTGACAAAATGTCTATTTCTTCCCATTTCCTGCAGGAAAGGCCTTTGGCTGTGTGGGTGGGTACATTGCCAGCACTGCCTCTCTGATCGACACCGTGCGCTCCTATGCAGCTGGATTCATCTTCACCACCTCCCTCCCTCCCATGGTCCTGGCTGGGGCTTTGGAGTCTGTCCGGATCCTGAAGAGTCCCGAGGGGCAGTCGCTGCGCCGTGCCCACCAGCGCAATGTCAAGCACATGCGTCAGTTGCTCATGGATGCCGGGCTGCCCGTGGTCAGCTGCCCCAGCCACATCATTCCCATAAGGGTATGGATACCCAGAGCACTGGGCGATCTCTCTAGCATTAAAGGTTTTCTATACCGATCTTCTCACCTACAAGAGGGACTCAGATCCGGTTCACAACATGTGTTCATATACAAAAATACAAACCACACAATGCATCATCATTACACAATTAAAAACATATTACAATACAACATCGTCATCATCACACTTATACAGCCACGTCGTCAAAGCATTCCTGGTCATAATTCACAGTTATTCATTCTCCTTCCATGTGGACCAAAGTTGACTCAGTTATCAAAGGCCGCATTCCATAGCCAAGTCTTTGTTAGCTTCCTGAACGTCAGGAGGGAGGGAGCAGTTCTAATCTCCTGTGGGAGGGAGTTCCAAAGCCGGGGAGCCACCATCGAGAAGGCCCTGTCTCTCATCTCCACCAACCGCGATTGTGACAGTGGTGGGATCGAGAGCAGTTTTGTAGGTCAAAACCAGCACTTTGAATTGTGCTCAGTTGGAGGGGACAGCAGTGAAGTATCCAGATTTAGTTATACAGTTGGCCCTCCCTATCCATTCATTCTGCATCCATAGATTCCACCATCCATAGGTTGAAATTATTTTTTTAATCCAAAAATCAAACCTTTTTGCCATTTTATATAAGGGACACTATTATATTATACTACTAGTTTATATGCCCAGTATTGCCCAGGTGCCAGAGCCGCCACTACCCCTTGGTAACATCTCTTCTTTCTTTCTCTACCACCATACTTTCCTTTCCCTTCTTCCCTTCTCACCCTTCTACCCCCTTTCCTTCCTTCCTGCACTCCCTCCTTTCTCCAGCTCTGACTTCCCCTCAAATGCATGTCACCTTTCTTTTCCAGTGACATCACAGGGCCACTTAGCCTAGCAACACCTAGCGATGGTCAACCCAGTAATATCATAAAGCGTCACTGGAATGTCACCTAACAACAACTTTTGTGATACAAATGGACAAACAGACAAACATTGACATATCTATCTATCTATCTATCTATCTATCTATCTATCTATCATCTATCTATCTATCTATCTATCTATCTATCTATCTATCTATCTATCTATCAATGCTCTGTGTGTAATGAGTACCTTAAAAACAAAAGAACCAATGAACGAAATCACACCAAATTTGGCAACAAAACGTCTCACAACACAAGGCGTGACCATCACTCAAAAAATTATGATTTTGTCATTTAGGAGTTGTAGTTGCTGGGATTTATAGTTCACCTATAATCAAAAAGCATTCTGAACTCCACCAACAATGGAATTGAACCAAACTTGGCACACAGGAGCATACACAGGTTTGGTGGGCATTGATCCTGAGTTTTGGAGTTGTAGTTCACCTACATCTAGAGAGCACTGTGGACTCAAACAACGATGGATCTGGACCAAACTTGGCATGAATACTCAGTGTGCCTAAATATAAACACAGATGGAGTTTGGGGGAAATGGACCTTGGCATTTGGGAGTTGTAGTTACTGGGATTTATAGCTCACCTACAATCAAGGAGCATTCCAAACCCCACCAACGATGGAATTGGGCTAAACATCCCACACAGAACCCCCATGACCAACAGAAAATACTGTGTTTTCTGGTGGTCTTTGGTGACCCTTCTGACACCCCCCTGGTGACCCCCTCCCCCCTGGGTTCTTGACTTCCCAGGTTGAGAAATGCTGCCTTAAGGCCATCCAGTCCAACTCCCTTCACCAGGGCAAGAAAACATAATCGAAGCCCTCCTGACAAAGGGCCATCCAGCCATTCACACACACACATATGCAGTATCAAAGATCTGAAAGGGACCCCTAAAGAAGGACAATGATATGTTGCATGTTCCAGAGTAGGCAAACCACACAGTCTCCACATCAACACTGACAAAGAAACAGCAAGAAATACTGTTCACCCACAAACATAAAGAAATTACATATATTAGAAACCAGCACTTTCTCATTACGTTATTTTCCAGATCACCAGACTGGGCCACAGCAACACATGGCAGGGGACTGCTAGTATAGATATATAGATTGCATACAGTGGGACTTAGGCATCCATGGATTTTGGTCTTGAAACTAAACCCCATGGGATACCAACTGCCCACTGTACTAAGCAATGAAATAAATTGGGCTTAAATTAGTCGTGGTGGACATATGAATGTCAACAGGTTTGCTCCATATATTACTGGGTTGGTTAAGGGGTCGTGGCATTAGGAAGGTTGAGAAACACTGTGTTAGAGGCTTATGGTTGTCTCTCATTCATAAGGTGACCAAAAGTCAAAGCCAGCTTGAATGCAAAGAGAATGACCCCTCCACATTCACAGGGGTCAGGGACACAGAACTCCACAAAAGTGAGAAAACACAAATTAAAATACTGGTGTCCTCTCTGATAAACAAAAATATTGTTTATCAGAGAGGACACCTCTCTAAGAATCTCTAGATCCTCTAGTGCCACTCTATAGTCTGCTGGAAACTGGCCACTGAATTCACATTAGAGCAGTGGTTCTCAACCTGTGGGTCCCCAGATGTTTTGGCCTTCAACTCCCAGAAATCCTAACAGCTAGTAAACTGGCTGGGATTTCTGGGAGTTGTAGGCCAAAACACCTGGGGACCCACAGGTTGAGAACCACTGCATTAGAAGATCTGCAAATACCTAGAGAAGTGTTCTGTGTAGGAATATCTAGTTCCTCCAGCAGAGATCTACAGTGGATGTCAAGCTGGAGGACCTAGAAATAAGACTGGTCAACAATCTTCAAACCTGCAAACTTGGAAGGTTGACTGTAGTGATGATCTAACAACCCCTTTCCATTTAAATTACTCAGACTTAACAGTACTTTATTCTGGCCACATCAGGCCTGAGATTGACAGAAATGAAAAGAGGGATAGGAGTAGGAAGACACAGATCAGACTGGTCACGTTTCTTTTCTCAGTGTTTTTTTTCCCCTTGCCCTGACAGGTTGGAGATGCTGCCTTGAACACCCGCCTCTGTGACCTGCTTCTGTCCAAATACAACATTTACGTCCAGGCCATCAATTACCCGACAGTGCCTCGCGGGGAGGAACTGCTGCGGCTGGCGCCCTCTCCGCACCACACTCCACCCATGATGGACTACTTTGTTGGTGAGTCACCAGCACCGTGAGCACAAAGCTGCTACTTCTGGTCCACCTGTTTACACTGGGATGGGGGGGGGGATCACTGTAGAAGTTATAGTGTTGTTCTATAGCAGTGGTTCTCAACCTGGGGTCCTCAGATGTTTTTGGCCTACAACTCCCAGAAATCCCAGCCAGTTTACCAGCTGTTAGGATTTCTGAGAGTTGAAGACCCAAAACATCTGGGGACCCCAGGTTGAGAACCACTGTTCTATAGTAACAAATGCTCATAAGGAGAAAGTGAGATCTCTGCTTTCCTCATGAGCATATACTAAAAAGGTAGTGGAAGGGGGGAGCCACAACATCCTGTGGAAAATAAGGGAGTTAAAAACAAAGAAACAAATGAATGGCAAGCCCCTAAATAGCCTAAAGGCACCAGATCCAAGATCAAATCCTGCTTAGTGTCTGATCTTGGACACTAAGCAGGGCCACCCCTGGTTAGTACTCAGATGAGAATACCAGGTACTGTAGAAGGCTATATTTCAGAGGAGAAGCCTGACAAAACCGCCTCTGAGTGTCCCCTGAGAACCTTATGAAAAATGCATGGGGTCACTATAATTTAACATGTGACTTGAAAGCACCAACATATAGGTCTTCACAATGTGTCCAGGAAGACCGTGCTTGTGAAGCAGGGGTAAAATTCACACCGTTATATTTAGGAGACCTACTCGAAAAGTGCAAAGAAGCACAATGTTTATCTACACATTCTGCATAGCTAGACCAACCTGGCACTTTCCAGTTGCATTAGTCTACTACTGTTCCATGGACCAGCACAAGTGCTTAGTCTTTTCTTTCTATATGTATGTTGGCATTGAATTTTTGCCATTAGTATGTTGTAAACAACCTTGAGGAGTCGTCGTCCCACCCCTACCCCCCCCCCCACCAGTGAAAAAGGTTGTATACCTTGGGAAGTCAGACTTGGCCACGGTGGTCCACGCTCTCATTACATCCAGGATAGACTACTGCAACATGCTCCACGTGGGGTTGTCTTTGAAGACTGCTCGGAAGCTTCAAATAGTCCAACAAGAGGCAGCTAGGTTAATAAATGGGCCAGCATACAGGGAGCATACAACTCCCATCTTATGCCAGCTCCACTGGCTGCCAGTTTGCTACCGGGCACAATTCAAAGTGCTGGCTTTGATCTATAAAGCCCTAAACGGCCCCGGCCCAATTTACCTGTCCGAATCTCCCCCTATGAACCATTGCAGAGATTAAGACCTTCCGGGGAGGCCCTGCTTTCCGTCCCGCCATTGTCAAAGGAGCGATTGGTAGGGATGAGAGACAGGGCCTTCTTGGTGATTGCCCCCCCCCATGGAACCCCCTTCCTGGTGAGATCAGATTGGCTCCCTCCCTCCTGTCTTTCAAAAGGGGGACCAAGCTTTTGGGACAGGGCAATGAAGCAGCAATAGGAAAGATTACCAGGCCAATTAGATTTCACACAGATGACGGTTTTAAATTGTGTATTTTAATATTGAGATAAATGTTTTTAATGTTTATGTATGCGTATATGAATTCTTGTCCCGGCATTGAATGTTTGACGTATATATGCTGTACTGTATATATGAGTCCCTTTCGGGGCAGAATATAAATGTTTTAAATAAATAAATACAGTAAATAAATAAATACAGTAAATAAATAAATCAGTCTACAAGCCATTTGCTGCCATTCTACAGAGAGTTTCCAGGGGAGAAAGAAAGAGGTGTAAGCCAAAGGACACAAATATGGTTCTGGTCCTTGGCATATTAAACGGTTTGGGACCTGCCTACCTTCGTGACCGTATCTCTCTTCATGAACCAACCCGGGCCCTTCGATCTTCGGGGGAGGCCCTCCTTTCTCCCCTGCCAGTCTCACAAGCTCATTTTGTGGGCACAAGGGAGAAAGCCTTCTAGTCTGTGGCTCTTCGACTCTGGAACTCATTACCTGGAGAGATGAGGAAAGCCCCTATACTAGCAACCTTCAAAAAGAACCTTAAAACCTGGCTCTTCTGCTGCGCCTTTGGCGAGTAGGTGTACAACATGACACGACTGCTCCCCTCAATGCTTCTGTCACTGGAGTACACGCCACCCTAATGGGAAATTTAGTTTCACAACCCTGTGTTTTTTTTATGAGCTCCCTGCAAATAACTTGCTCCTTTTGTTATCTCATTTGAGTTTTTTAACATTTTATCCTGCACATGTGGCCCGCCCACTGTCACTGGGATTGTGTTTAGTGTAATGTTATTTTGTTACTGTATTTATATGTTTTTAATGTAATTTTGATGCTGTTGCTTGTTGCTTATGTTTTGGTTTTATATTGCTGTAATGTTGTTCGGGCTTGGCCTCGTGTAAGCTGCCCCGAGTCCCCGTTGGGGAGATGGTGGCAGGATATAAATAAAGATGATGATGATGATTATTATTATTATTAATGGAAAAATATTGCCAGTCCCCAGCCCCCTCCACATAACTTGAGAAGCAGTGCTATATAACAATCCTCATCCAACGTGGCCAATATTGCTCTGCATATCTCCTTCTGACCACTTCCTCTCTTCCATTCCTCTATAGAGAAGCTCTTGTCTGCCTGGCAGGAGGTGGAGCTGCCCCTGCAGGCCCCAGCCTCTCCAGAGTGCAACTTCTGCCGTCGCCCACTGCATTTTTCCCTCATGAGTGAATGGGAGCGAGATTATTTTGGAAACATGGGGCCTCGCTACGTCACTCTCTCTGCCTGAGGAGCACCTTGGTCCAAAAGGAAATTGCCCTTCAGAACCTGAGCGGAAGAGAAACAACTACTCCACACTGATGCTGCCAAATTGGAAAAGAGGGAGGAATGTATACGCAATAAAGTTCTACAATTGTGTCTGCATCTTTCACTGCTTCTTACTTTGTAAAATCTCAGTGCTTAGACTGGGCGGGTTCTTCCATGTGATTACCACTTCCATACTCCTATTAAGTGACTAGCTGTACCCGCCACACATTGCTGTGGCCAACCTTCCCTTCCTCTTTCTCTCCTTCTTTCTTTCTCTCCTTCCTTCCATCCCTCCATCTTTTCATCCTTCCCTTTTTTTTCTTTCCTTCTCTCCTTCCTTGCTTCCTTCTCTACCTCTTTCCTTCCTTCCTCTCCCCTTTTCTTTCTCTCTTTTTTTCTTTCTCTCTCTTTTTTAGGTGTTTAAGTCCTTTCTGCTGTTTTTTGGGAGGGGTTTGTGACTGATGGTCACTCATTGGACTGTTAAGGGTATAGTGTCCAAATTTCTTGTCAATTCATCCAGTGGTTTTTGAGTTATGTTAATCCCACAAACATTACTTTTTTATTTAGATTTATTTATATATTTAACACATTTATATTCCACCCTTCTCACCCCGCAGGGCACAACATATATAGTCGTCCCCTGCCACGCGTTGCTGTGGCCCACATGGGGGTTCTGTGTGGGCAGTTTGGCCCAATTCTATCATTGGTGGGGTTCAGAATGCTCTGTGATTGTAGGTGAACTATAAATCCCAGCAAACTACAACTCCCAAATGTCAAGATTCTATTTTCCCCAAACTCCACCAGAGTTCACATTTGGGCATATTGAGTATTCGTGTAGAGTTTGGTCCAGATCCATCCTTGTTTGAGTCCACAGTGATCTCTGGATGTAGGTGAACTACAACTCCAAAACCAAAGGACACTGCCCACCAAACACTTCCAGTATTTCCTATTGATGATGGGAGAACTGTGAGCCAAGTTTGGTTCAATTCAAGTGCTGTATTGAACCATCAAAGAATGCTCTTTGATTGTAAGTGAACTATAAATCCCAGCAAATGCAATTCCCAAATGTCAGGGTCTATTTTCCCCAAACTCCACCAGTGTTCATATTTGGGCATATTGAATATTTGTGCCAAGTTTGGTCCATATCCATCACTGAGTGCACAGTGCTCTCTGGATGTAGGTGAACTACAACTCCAAAACTCAAGGTCAATGCCCACCAAATCCTTCCCAATATTTTATGTTGGTCATGGAAGTTCTGTGTGCAAAGCTTGGTTCAATTCCATCATTGGTGGGGTTCAGAATGCTCTTTGAACTATAAATCCGAGCAACTACAACTCCCAAATGTGAAGGACATACATTGGGTTGTTAGGTGTCTTGTGTCCAAATTTGGTGTCAATTCATCCAGTGGTTTTTGAGTTCTGTTAATCCCACAAACGAACATTACATTGGGTTGTTGTAGGTTTTTTCGGGCTATATGGCCATGTTCTAGAGGCATCTAGAACCTCTAGAACATGGCTATATAGCCCGAAAAAACCTACAACAACCCAGTGATTCCGGCCATAAAAGCCTTCGACTAAACATTACATTTTTATTTATATAAATAGTACACGAGCAAACACATTGGTGCCACAATAGCTCCACAACAGCTAACTACTGGGAAATGCACTCACAAAAAAATTATGTGAGCCACGGACAAACGGTAACAAAAGCAGCAGGAGCTGGAAACTGAAATGGAAAGATAGGTGCAATCAATCTAACACAGTTTGATCCCATATCCACAGAAGTTACATTCTTGGACCTACAATGCACAAAAGTAACCCATATTGAAACAAAAAACTTCTGGTAGAAGCATACCATACATTGGAAGAGCTAGGGAGAACACCTCTCTACATTTCTACTTTCTCCCTTCTCCAGCTCTGAGAGGGTCTACCTCTCAATGCCTCCACGGCAACATGGCTTTCTTTGTGGCTATTTCTTCCTTCCTCGCCTTTTCCTCACACACGTCACCTTTCTTTCCCAGTGACATTATGGAGGGCCACTTCACCTAGTAATAAACAAACCAGTGACATCACAACAGCCTTTGTGGTACAGACAGACAGGCACACTTTAGTTTTTATATATACAGATGGATGTGGGTAAGTAAAATCACAGGTATGTGGGGTCATGTTTTATTTCCATCCAAGCTGTGCATGGACAGGAATTTATCTTCAGTGCCAAAACTAAGCTCATAACTACCTTCACCCTTTGATACACCTCTGGTTTAAAGATAAACTTTCTTCTTTTCAGCTCTATAACTCTGAAAAGAACACGGGAACAGAAGAGAACAGAACAGGGTGTTAAGTAACTGAGTCAGAAACCCTTGCTTGTCTATTCCAATCTACCAATAAGACTCCCATGAATACAGTTTGTCCATTCCTGAGCAAGAGCACTAAAATGCACAAATATTTGGCTACTGTGGACAATAATACCACAGCACCCCCAGCAGGTGATTTTGAACTATCCAGCGTTCTACATTTTTGGGATCTTTCTATTACCCAGCAGGAATCAACACTCTTCATGTGCATTCCCTACATAATAAAGAGAAAGGTTTCCCCTGACATTAAGTCTACTCAACCACTCTGGGGGTGGTGCTCATCTCCATTTCTAAGTCAAAGAGCCGGCATTGTCCATAGTCACCTCCATGATCATGTGGCCAGCATGACTGCATGGAGCGCCGTTATCTTCCCGCAAGAGTGGTACCTATTGATCTACTTTCGAACTGCTAAGTTGGCAGAAGCTGGGCCTAACAGTGGGAGCTCACCCTGCTCTCCAGATTCGAACCAGATTCGGTCAGCAAGTTCAGCAGCTCAGCGGTTTAACCTGCTGCACCACCGGGGGTGTGTGGTTAATTTCTTACATAGAAGTGTAAAATCTCTTCCTATGAACCCACCAGGAACTTGAGATCGTCGGAGGAGGCCCTGCTCTTGATCCCACCTGCTTCGCAAGCACTTTTGGCAGGGACGAGAGACAGGGCCTTCTCTGTGGTGGCCCCTCGGCTGTGGAGCTCCCTGCCTAGGGACATTAGATCAGCCCCCTCCCTCCTGACCTTTCAAAAAAGAGTGAAAACCTAGCTATTCAAGCAAGCATTTGAAACCTCAGGATAAACGACAAACTTGAATCAGAAAATGACCCAGGAATGGTTAATACGATGGAATGGATGAGGATTTGAACGAGAGAACATAGTTTTATTTTTTTTTACTATTCATTGTTTTTATGTCTCTAAATGTACTGTAATGTTTCTTTTTTGCTTTTTATCAATGTATGTATTTTATATATGGCATCAAATTGTGCCGACTTTGTATGCCGCCCTGAGTCACCTTTGGGCTGATATGGGTGGGATAGAAATAGTGTAAATAAAATAAATAAAAATGCCTCCTTTTACTCAAGAACACATGTGGGCACATGCAGATGCTAGTGGTGTCCATCTGCAAAAGTTAAGCTAGGGTCTCTGTCGGCCATTGGAGAAGAAACAATAAAAAAGGAATTATTGGAAGTTCCCAAAATCAAAGCGATTTGAGTTTCGTGGATCTCCCGCCCAGCCTCACCCATTCGATTCACAGCAACATAATTTCTCCTTCCTCAAAGATGACATAGGGGGTCTTTTTAAATGCAAACATCTTTATTTTATCAAAAGTTTTAAAAAAGTTTCTTTTTTGTCTGCCCCCAAAGAACAAGAGATCATTTCCCAGCAATGACATATTAGGAGTGAATCACTTCAGGAAACATAGAGAAATTGGGTTGTTATAGGTTTTTTAGGACTATATGACCATGTTCTAGAGGCATTCTCTCCTGACGTTTCGCCTGCATCTATGGCAAGCATCCTCAGAGGTAGCACCTCATTACCTCTGAGGCCTGCTTGCCATAGATGCAGCGAAACGTCAGGAGAGAATGCCTCTAGAACACGGCCATATAGCCCGAAAAAACCTACAACAACCCAGTGATTCCGGCCATGAAAGCCTTCGACAATACATAGAGAAATTTGCACCACTACCACAAGGCAGCTATTTTGAAGACCCAAGGATATATGCCCAGGAATCTTCAGGAAGGTGCGTAGCCTCACAGTGAGAGATTCACTGAAGACTCTTCAAACAAAGTTTCCTTTCCTCTTTAAGGTCTGACCAAACATGGTTCAAAATAAGCTCCATCATGTTGTATTGTAAATTCAGGCTTCCAATGGTCCCAACCCAAGTGTGACCCCACAAAATGTTTGCCTGGAGAAGGCTTAACTACCTGGCATTGAGACAGAGTATACCCGGGGTTAGGGTCAGTCTTTCTTTTGAGGTGGACCAATCATGACCCTAACTATTAAAGAGCAATTCCATTCCAGAGACATCTAAGACCCAGCGCCTTGGAGTGTAAGTCTTTTAAAGATTGCCCCGACTGGCCCACAGGAAGAAGTCACAGCGGGCACGGGGATCAGAGGACTTCCCCAGGGGTCGGGCGCAGACATAAAAGCGCCGCCCGCAGTTTGGCCCTGGCTTCTTCACCGTTCGGAGGACACAGGGCTCCCCATGGGCTTTGCAGAGCGGTGGGCGAGCAGGGCCTGGCAGCAGGGACCTCCACAAGGCAGCACTCTGAGTAGGCTTCAAGGTAACTCCATCTTTCCCACAATTCACAGTTTTCTCATTGGCCACGGCCATGGAGGACTCCTCTCTCACAATCCCAACAAGTGCCTGGATTTCACTGGCAACTTCCTCACTTCCAGGTTTGTCAACTCCAGCAGTCTCAGCAGGAGGTTCTTTCCCAGAGTCCTCAGTTGTTCTCCATTCTGATTGGCACCCAGAACTGTCAATCCCCCCAGTTCTGCTCCCAACTTTGAAGAAGTGACGCAAATCAACTTGCCCCTTCTGTGACGGGCCGATCCGACTCTTTTTGGAGACTACCGTTGCTGCACCCGTCTCCACCCAATCTGGCTTTTGCCTCTTCTCCGGCAGGCCGTTCCGTTCCACTTTCATCAGGAAGCGGCTGAGCTTCTGTTGGGTGCCGGCAAACTCAGGAAGGAAACGAGTGCAGAGAGGTGGGCAGCGAGGAGCCCCCAGGCAGACGCTTTTCAGCACAGCCTGCACAGGACAATGATCAGAGCCAAACACTTCTGGCCTGAGCTGGGCTTCTTTCAGCTCTGACAGCGCCAGAGCCCGATCGGCCAGGATGTAGTCAATGCGGGTCCCATAATTGAGGTGCCGGGACCCTGTCACATTGCACCAGCAGGTATAGGCCTCCTTCTGCGTAGGGTGGAGAAAGCGGAAGGTGTCAACAAAGAGTTCTTCGTGTGGGGAGTCTTTCCCCGGCTCCCACAGGAAACCATCTAACCAGTTGCGTCCAGGATGCTCTTGAAAGGACTCCTGCAGGAGATGAGGGAAGGATTAAGTAGATGCTACCAAACCCAACAATATGCTTTCAATTGCTTGAGGGTGGCTTCACAAAGTAGGGAAGCTCTAGTCCAGTGGTTCTCAACCTTCCTAATGCCACGACCCATTAATACAGTTCCTCATGTTTTGGTGACCCCCAACCATAAAATTATTTTTGTTGCTACTTCATAACTTTAATTTTACTACTATTATGAATCGCAATGTACATATCTGTTAAGCAGGATGTATTTTCATTCACTGGACCAAATTTGGCACAAATATCCAATACACCCACATCTAAATACTGGTAAGGTTGGAGGGGATGAATTTTGTCATTTGGGAGATGTAGTTGTTGGGATTTATAGTTCACCTACAATCAAAGAGTATTCTGAACTTCACCAGTGATAGAATTGTGCCAGACTTTCCACACAGAACACCCATGACCAACATAAAATACTGGAGGGATCTGGGAAGAATTGACAATTATTTAGGGAAGATGTAGTTCCCCAACATCCGGAGAGCACTGCGAACCCAAACAACTATGCGAAACAGGTTCCTAAGACATCAGAAATATGTGTTTTCTGATGGTCGTTGGCGATCCCTCTGAAACCACCTTGCGCCCCTATCAGGGGCCCCGATCCCCAGGTTGAGAAACACTCCTCTAGTCTGTCAGAAATGTCATGCTTTTGCTCCCAAAAGCATCAGACAACACAGCCAAGAGCCAATGGGAGTTCTGCTCTTGGTCCCATCTCCTTCTCAGTGGTGGCCCCTCTGCTGTGGCACTCCCTCCCTACTGGGATTTAATTGGTCCCTTACCTCCTGTCATTTTGCAAACAAGTGAAAACTTGGCTTTGGGAGCAAGCATTTGGACCAGCACAATTATCTGTGCAATGGAGCAGAAACTGATCCTGGATTGATAAATATGATTATTTGACTATCTGGCTTTGGATCTATGCACAATAGTTGTCTAATGTTTACATATGTTCCTTAATGTTGTTTTAAATTATTGTTTAATTTCTTTTAATTATTATTGTTGTTTGGACATGGAATAATCCCAATTTTGTAAGCCACCCTAAATCCCCTTCGGGCTGAGAAGGGCAGGATATAAATGTCGTAAATAAATACATACATTTCAACAATCTTCTATATGTAGTACTAGCCATCCCCTGCCACACGTTGCTGTGGTCCTCAGAAAACAGAGGAATTCCAGGCATGAAACAATAGGCAGAAGAGACATGTTGAAGGGACATTGATAGATGGAACAGAAGATAGATGGATAGAACATAGGTAGGTAGGTAGGTAGGCAGGTAGGCAGGTAGATGGATGGATGGTCAGAGGGGACACACACATCTTTAAGGGGCCAAAGGGGGCTGGACTGGATGGCCTTTGGGGCTCCCTTCCAACTGGTTGGCCATCTGTTGGGTAGGCTTTGTGTCTTCCTTTACCGCCCATTGATGTTGGACTGGATGGCCTTTGGGGCTTCTTTCCAACTGGATGGCCATCTGTCGGGAGGGTTTTGATGGTGTCTGCAAAAAGTGGTTGGGCTGGATGGCCTATGGGACCCCTTTAACTACCATGGCTCAATGCTGTGGAATAATTCCACGGTGTAGACCAGGTAGGGGCAGACTTGGGCCCTCCAGGGGTTTTGGATTCCAACTCCCACAATTCCTAACAGCCTTTTAGGTTGGAATTGTTTTTGTCGGTGTGTTTTTCAGTGTTTTTATGAGTGATGGTCACTTGTTGGCCTGATAGGTGTCATGTGTCCAAATTTGGTGTCAATTCGCCCAGTGGTTTTTGAGTTATGCTAATCCCACGAACGAACATTACATTTTTATTTATATAGATTATTATAGTTTCCTTTTATTCTCACTATTGTTGTTTCCTCAATCTACCCTCCTTCCTAAAAAGTTATTATGTTTTCATCCCTCCAGAGTTTTCCGATTTCAAACCATTACCAAATTTTCTTGTACAAGAGGCCATCTTGAAATTAGCTATTTGTTAATTTGACCCACATTTACCAAATCTCTTGCTAATTTCACAATTTCCATCCACATCTATGTCCAGAACCACAGCATTAAGACTTTATTAAGTTTTAAGTTTTGTTTTTACAGCCTCAAGGGAGGGAAGTGAACATAACAGCACTTCCAAGACAGAATGAAGAAGTCTACAGAGAAAGAAGCAGGGAACTTGCTCACCAAATCTCCAGGATCACAGTGATCAATGGGTTTGTGTGAAGTGTTGATGTCTCCCATAATGACAACATGCCTAAAACAAAAGAAGAGTGTTGTGTCAGTACCAAATGACAGCCTCAAGCTGAAAAATGACAACCTCACCCACCTTCACTGATGCTTAACACCATGGTATATATCAAGAGTCCCCAAATTAAGACCTCTGGGCCAGATGCGGCCCTCCAAGGTCATTTACTGGTCCCCTTCCTAAACTTTAGACTTCGGGTCAGCCTAAGTCTGAAACTACTTGAAGGCACACAACAACAACCCTCATCAACTTGACTCTCTCATCGGCCAGAAGCAGTTTCACACTTCCCATCAAAATATTGGTAAGATTGTGTTGGTTAAAACTGTTCTTCATTTTAAATACTGTATTGTTCTTTGTTTTCTTTTTTGCAATACAAACAAGATCTGTGCAGTGTGCATAGGAATTTGTTCAATTTTTTTTTCAATCTATAGTCTGCCCCCCTAGTATAAATAGAAAGCAACTCCTAGCATCTAATCAATAGAAATAATAGTGTAATATTCAGTCCCTGCAAAAAAAAAAAGTAGACTTTGCTGGAGCAGAAGTGGGAAATATGACCTTCCAGATACTGCCAAAACTACTCTCCCCATCATCCTTCATCTCTGGCACTGCAGGAAGGGAACTGAAGCCCAGCAATAATGGAAGGGTCAGGTTCTCCAGAGGTTCTCTAGAGCAGGGAGATGGAACCTTTGACCCTCAAAGTATTTGGGGACTACAATTCCCACAAACCTACGCTGGATGCAGCATCTGGGAACTATGGGCCAGAAAATCTTAAGGGTCAAAGATTCCCCAAAGAAACAGAACATGCAGTCTTCAAACTAGTCACATCACTGCACCCTGTAGCATACGCCAATGAACAGCATTTTTTCCCGAGCTTCCAAGAAATGTCATCCTTAAGTACCTCCTACTTACATCCTTTTTACTGTGGAATCACCTGAAAGCCTCTGCAGGCCAAGAAGGTGTTTTGCTAGCTACTGAGCTACAACCCTACTGTAGGAGGGCCTTTAGCATAGCTGGTTAATCACCAGCAGCAATAGATTTTTCCCAACTGAAAGATTGGTAGTTTGAGCCCTGGTCGAGGTGAGCTCCCGACCTTCAGCCTAACTTACTATCCACCTAAGCAGTTCGAAAACAGCTGTGATCAAAAGGCTCGTTGTCATGGAGGATGGAGTGACAGCACCCCCCCTGTGCCCAGAATCGAGCATAACCTCCAGATTTCTGAAGTTGGAAAAATGCCGACACATATCTCTATCTGTCTGTCCTGTATGTCTAATGGCACTGACTGTTTGCCGTGTATGTGTTCTGTAATCCACCCTGAGTCCCCTTCAGGGTAAGAAGGGCAGAATATAAATGCTATAAATACATATAAAAATAAATATTGAAAAACATGGCAGTCCTATTGATCCCCTCTGAGCCAAAGCACCACTGTGCAGAATTAGAAGGGCATTTTCCAAGGGAGATCCATGGCCAAGACACCAACATCATACCAGGGTCGGAGACCAAATAATGCCTATACTTTGACTTAAAAGACTGATTTCCTAACTATATTTGAGGATTCAAAGAATGGATTTTTTAATGAAAAAACTAATCCCTGCCTAAGATCCAATTGAATATAATACAGCACAAATGACAGCATATTTCAACTTTTCCAAAAAATATTATTATTATTATTATTATTATTATTATTATTATTATTATTATTATTATTATATTTTGCAAATTACTTATTCCTAACCTGTCTCTTAGTTAAAGTGTTTACACAGTGCTGCCCTAAGGCATCAGCTGCACTAAAGACCAACGAGATTTTATGTCATGTTACTATGCAAACAAGGGCATTAAACTCTACTTACCCCCCAGCTTTAAGAAGAGCTTCAGCCCTGGCTTGAAGGAGATGGTAGAAACGCAGCTTAAATTCTCCTCGTTCTGGTTTTTCAGGGTCAGCACGTGGGCAGTATACATTGATGACTGTCAGGGTGGTTTCCTGCTGTTCTGAAGTGCTGTAGCAAAAAGACAAGGACAACACGGTCCAATAAGGCACTGACTGCTCAGACTCAAGCTCTTTCTGAGGCAGGATCTAGCGGGTTTCTGGGCCTCCATTATATTATGGAAACCCACAGGCCCCTTTACCCTTAGACTCTTCTTATTGTGCTCCCAAGCCTTCAAGTCTTTGCACATTACCCTATCAATAAGATCCACGGTGCGAATAAAAACATTTCCCATCAGCTTGTCAATCTCTCAAACACAGCAGCAAATACTAACTGCCAAGTTGTTTCCTGTGCTCACTGGATAAGAATTTTAATTCTACTGTGCCTTATCCTTTACTGATTCATAGAATCATAGAGTCGGAAGAGACCACATGGACCATCCAGTCCAACCCCTTGCCATGCAGGAAAAGTGTCATGATAAAATATGCTGTATGGTTTGAGTGAGATTGTATGAAAGGCGTATGAATGTGGCCCAACTGGGCTGAAGATACCATTCTAAAGAATGAGGCCTGGAAAACTACAAGACAGAGGCAAAGGACTTGTGGACTAATTAAAAATTGCTGATGAGATTTGAGAACTGTTGACATCCTGACTTGATTAACTCTTGGTGGAAAAACAACTTGTTTACATTGCCAAAGACAATGGTTCTCTTAAGTAAGGAAGTCAACACTGTGGCTCCTTACAGAAATGTTTACAAGGAAAGTCAATCAATCAGAATCAACATCTGTCCAAGAACTGATGGAATCTGTCTGTCAGTAATTGACAACTTTCAGAACCACATCAACAGGAATACTACATAAAAGGACCTTTCTCTCTCAGAGAGTGTGTGTCAGATCAACTGAACACCATTTCTGAACGCCATCGTGAACTGCTGCCTCCTCTCAAGAAGCTGATCATCTTCAGCAAGAAGAATGGTAAGAATGCTTGATGAATGAATGGATGATGATTGAATGTTAGAGTATGTTGTTGTTCATTCGTTCAGTCGTCTCCGACTCTTCGTGACCTCATGGACCAGCCCACGCCAGAGCTCCCTGTCAGCCGTTACCACCCCCAGCTCCCTCAAGGTCAGTCCAGTCACTTCAAGGATGCCATCCATCCATCTTGCCCTTGGTCGGCCCCTCTTCCTTTTGCCTTCCACTTTCCCCAGCATAATTGTCTTCTCTAGGCTTTCCTGTCTCCTCATGATGTGCCCAAAGTACTTCAACTTTGTCTCTAGTATCTTTCCCTCCATGAGCAGTCGGGCTTTATTTCCTGGAGGATGGACTGGTTGGATCTTCTCGCAGTCCAAGGCACTCTCAGAACTTTCCTCCAACACCACAGCTCAAAAGCATCGATCTTCCTTCGCTCAGCCTTCCCTAAGGTCCAGCTCTCACATCCGTAGGTTACTACATGGAATACCATGGCTTTGACTAGGCGGATCTTTGTTGCCAGTCTGATGTCTCTACTCTTTACTATTTTATCGAGATTGGACATTGCTCTCCTCCCAAGAAGTACGCGTCTTCTGATTTCCTGGCCACAGTCTGCATCTGCAGTAATCTTTGCACCTAGAAATACAAAGTCTGTCACGGCCTCCACGGTTTCTCCCTCTATTTTCCAGTTGTCAATCATTCTTGTTGCCATAATCTTGGTTTTTTTGACGTTTAGCTGCAATCCGGCCTTTGCGCTTTCTTCTTTCACCTTGATTAGAAGGCTCCTCAGCTCCTCCTCGCTTTCGGCCATCAGAGTGGTGTCATCTGCATATCTGAGGTTGTTAATGTTTCTTCCAGCAATTTTCACCCCAGCTTTGCATTCATCCAGCCCCGCACATCGCATGATGTGTTCTGCATACAAGTTAAAAAGGTTGGGTGAGAGGATGCAGCCTTGCCGTACGCCTTTCCCAATCTTGAACCAGTCTGTTGTTCCATGGTCAGTTCTGACTGTTGCTACTTGGTCCTTGTATACAGATTCCTCAGGAGAGAGACAAGGTGGCTTGGGATGCCCATACCACTAAGAACTTGCCACAATTTATTATGATCCACACAGTAGTCAAAGGCTTTAGAATAGTCAATGAAGAAGAAATAGATGTTTTTCTGAAACTCCCTGCCTTTCTCCATTATCCAGCGGATATTGGCAATCTGGTCTCTCGTTCCTCTGCCTTTTCTAAACCCAGCTTGAACATCTGGCAACTCTCGCTCCATGTATTGCTGGAGTCTTCCTTGCCGGATCTTGAGCATTACCTTACTGGCATGAGAAATAAGGGCCACTGTACGGAAGTTTGAGCAGTCTTTCGCATTTCCCTTTTTTGGTATGGGGATATAAGTTGATTTTTTCCAGTCTGATGGCCATTCTTGTGTTTTCCATATTTGCTGGCAATGGCATGCATCACCTTGACAGCATCATCTTTTAAGATTTTAAACAGTTCAGCTTGGATCCCGTCGTCTCCTGCTGCCTTGTTGTTAGCAATGCTTCTTAAGGCCCATTCAACCTCACTCCTCAATCTGGTTCTAATTCATTCACCACACCGTCAAAACTATCCTCAATATTATTATCCTTCCTATACAGATCTTCTGTATAGTCTCGCCACCTTCTCTTGATCTCTTCAGCTTCTGTTAGGTCCCTGCCATCTTTGTTTCTTATCATACCAATTTTTCCCTGAAATTTACCTCCAATGTTTCTAATTTTCTGGAAGAGGTCTCTTGTCCTTCCTATTCTGTTGTCTTCTTCCACTTCCATGCATTGCTTATTTAAAAATAGTTCCTTATCTCTTCTGGCTAACCTCTGGAATTGCGCATTTAGCTGGGCATATCTCCCCTTATCCCTGTTTCCTTTTGCTTTCCTCCTTTCTTGGGCTACTTCCAGTGTCTCAGCAGACAACCATTTTGCCTTCTTGGTTTTCTTTTTCTTTGGGACGTACTTTGTTGCCGCCTCCTGAACAATGTCTCGGACTTCTGTCCATAGGTCTTCTGGGACTCTGTTTACTAAATCTAGTCCTTCAAATCTGTTCTTCACTTCCACTGTATATTCGCTAGGAATGTTAGTGAGATCATATCTAACTGGTCTGTGTATTTTCCCTGATCTCTTTAGTTTTATTCTAAATTGGGCAATAAGAAGTTCGTGATCTGAGCTACAGTCAGCCCCAGGTCTTGTTTTCACCGACTTGATGGATGTCCGCCACCTTTGGCTGCAAAGGATGTAGCAATCTGATTTCGGTGTTGACCGTCTGGTGAGGTCCATGTGTAAAGCCGTCTTTTAGGTTGTTGGAAGAGAGTATTCGTTATACACAGCGAGTTTTCCTGGCAAAATTCTATCAGCCTGCGTCCCGCTTCATTTTGTTCTCCCAGACCATGCTTGCCTGTGATTCCAGTTGTCATTTGACTTCCCACCTTGGCATTCCAGTCTCCTGTAATGAAAATAATGTCTCTTTTTGGTGTATTATCCAGTAGGTCCTGCAGATCCTCATAGAACTGATCTACTTCTGCTTCTTCAGCAGCTGTGGTTGGGGCGTATATTTGGATCACTGTAATGTTTAAAGGCTTTCCTTGCACTCGAATTGAGATCATTCTGTCATTTTTTGGGTTGTATCCAAGCACCGCTTTAGCGAATTTCTTATTAATTATGAAGGCTACTCCATTTCTTCGATGTTCCTCTTGTCCGCAGTAGTAGATCTGGTGGTCATCTGATGTGAAGTGGCCCATTCCAGTCCACTTCAGTTCGCTGACCCCCAGAATGTCTATCTTTAGTCTTGACATCTCGCCAATAACAACATCCAATTTGCCCTGGCTCATAGATCTTACATTCCAGGTTCCTATGGTGTGTTGATCTTTAGAGCATCGGATTCGTCGTTCACCTCCAGTACCGTCGGCCGCTAGCCTTCCTTTCGGCTTTGAGCTAGCTGCGTCATCACATCTGGGGCTAGTTGAACTTATCCTCTGCTCCTCCCCAGTAGCATTTTGGCCATCTTCCGACCTGGGAGTCGCATCTTCCAATGGCATACCGACATATCTCTGGTTGTACTGGTCCATTTAGTTGTCTTGGCAAGGATACTGGAGTGGTTTGCCATTGCCTTCCCCAGGGATCACGCTTGGTCTGACCTCTCTGCCACAACCGTCCCGTCTTGGGTGTCCCTTCACGGTTTCGCTCATGACATCATTGAGGTGCTCAAGCTCCAGCGCCCCGACAAGGCGGTGATCCTTTGCTGGAGTATTTTAAAATAGCATTTTCTTAGGTCCCCAATATAATTATTATAAAACCTAGTACTGGAGTCTGTGTCTATTTTTTCTCTGAAAGTGCCTAATGCAACCTGTCTCACTAAAAGCGGAATAAAAGAACCTATTTAATGTTTTTAAAAGTACTTATGACAAAAGCACCATCAAAACACCCCAGACCGATGACCATCTGCTTCTGTTTAAAAGCCTCCAAAGAGGGGGCCTCCACCAAACTCCAAGGCAGTGAGTTCCACTGCTGAACAGCTCTTACAGTCAGAAAGTTCTTCCTCATGTTCAAGTGGAATCACAATCTCATATGCTCCGTAATGGTTTTAAGCTATGATTACATTTCGGCTTGATGGATTACAGTATTTGAAACTATACTAAGTTGCTTCAAAAGCAATGCAACATACACTGTTTATGGCATGGAACTTTGCCATGTAGTTCTGTGGAATGCAGTATTGACAGCAAAGAAGCTGTATACTGAAACTGAACTTCTTAAGAACTGGCATGATACAACAGCGGGGTGTGTATTTGTGTGTGTGAGAAAATGAGGCAACCATTCACCGCCTTCTTATTCTGTCTTTGCAGCATTTAAAAAAAAAATCTGTTATTGAAAAAGTACGGTTCCTAATAGGCATACAAGCTCTATTTTAACCTGTTTTAAACGATGTATTTATGTGTGTTCGGCATTAATTGTTGCCAGGCATTAATTGTTGTGATTCGCCTTTGGGTGGGATAAAGGTGTGGCAAATAAATAAATAATAAATAAATATTTTTAATTTTGGTGCTTCCAACTGCAGAGTAGTTTGAAAGAAAATATCCTTGCTGACATGACACTCACAATCTGACAAGGACTGACATGACACTCACAATCATGACAAGGCTAGCAACGGGTCCTCCCTACAACCCCTTTCCCTTCCCAGCTTTGGCTCACTCCTTACCAAATGCGATGGCGGGTGATCACAGCCCGGCCCTCACTATCCAGGGCCTGGAGCTCTTCTGTGGTGAAGGCCTCTGGGGCTCCATAGCAACCGACGGCCCCCTCATGCTTAGTCCAAAGCCCAGAGAGGCCCTCCTCAGCCGCCTCTGGAGTAGCAGTGGCCTTACAGAAGGTTGCAACACCTGGATAAAAAGGGATTCACGGAAAGTTAAGAGGGGACACAATAGCCATGTTTAAATATTTGAAGCAATGTCACATTGAGGAAGGGACAAGCTTGTTTTCTGCTCCTCTGGAGACTAGGACACAATGTTTGTGGGATTAACATAACTCAAAAACCACTGGACGAATTGACACCAAATTTGGACAGCATACACCTAACAACCCAATGTATGTCCCTCACTCAAAAAAAATTGATTTTGTCATTTGGGAGTTGTAGTTGCTGGGATTTATAGTTCACCTACAATCAAAGAGCACTCTGAACTCCACCAATTATGGAATTGAAAAAAACGTGACACACAGGACTCCAATGACCAACAGAAAACACTAGAAGGGTTTGGTGGGCATTGACCTTGAGTTTGGGAGTTGTAGTTCACCTACATCCAGAGAGCACTGTGGACTCAAATAATGATGGATCTGGACCAAACATGGCACAAATATTTCATATACCCAAATATGAACACAGATGGAGTTTGGGGGAAATAGACCTTGAAAACTGGGAGTTGTAGTTACCTACAATCAAAGAGCATTCTGAACCCCACCAACGACAGAATTGGGGGAACTTCCCACACAGAACCCCCATGACCAACAGAAAATACTTAAGGTCATCCAGTCCAACACCAAGACAAGAACACGTAATTAAAGCCCTCCTGACAAAGAACCATCCAGCCATAGATATAGGTAGATATATACGAATCACACACATAGATATAATATCATAGATTTGAAAGGGACCCCTAAAGAAGGACAATTATATATTGCATGCTCCAGAGTAGGCAAACCAGACCATCTCCACATCAACACTGAAAAAAACAAAGGAAGAAATACCGTTTACCCACAAGCAGAAACAAATTACATATATTAGAAACCAACACTTTCTAATGACTTTATTTTCCAGATTACCACACTGGGCCACAGCAACGCATGGCAGGGAACACCTAGTGGAACAATATATTCAATTTGCAAGGAAAAGATTCCATCGAAACATTAGGAAGATCTTCCTGATAGTAAGAGCTGTTCAGCAGAGGAATACGTTGCCTTACATATGGTGGAGCTTTCTTCTTTGGAGGTTCCTAAATAGCTACTATATGATCATTTGTCAGGAGTGCTTTGACTGTGTATTCCTACATGGCAGAAAGGGGTACAACTAGATGTTCTTTGGAGTTTGTTCCAACTCTAGGATTCGAAGATGGCTATGCCATTCACTCTCTGGGAATAAAAACGGTGCTGCCTGGCTGGTATTTGGACTGGATGCAGCAGGTCTACACAGCATCCACAAGCAAGCGAGTGTATAGAGCAGCGGTTCTCAACCTAGGGGTCTCGACCCCCAGGGGGGTCACTGGGCCATTTTCTGGGGGTCATGAAGGCGCCTCGGTTGGCCCCACCCTCTCCGCCTCCTCAAAATGGCTGCCGGAAGGGGTGGGGGTCAAGCGGAAGTCAGTGGTCTGTGGAAGGCTGAATAGGTTGACGGTACTGCAAATCCCATCATCTGTTTTCCATACTCCCCAAACATATTTTTTCTGATTAATCACAATGCTTTAATTATGTTGTATTTGTAATAATGAAAACACATCCTGCATATCAGATATTTCCATTACGATTCGTAACAGTCACAAAATTCGTTATAAAGGAGTAACGAAATAATTTTATGGTTGGGGGTCACCACAACATGAGGAACTATGTTTAGAAGTCACGGTGTTAGAAAGTTTGAAAACCACTGGCATAGAGGGTCTGCAAAGGAGCCTTGACAAGTTTATTGCTACAGATAGAGACAACGTTCACATCACAGCAGAAACCCTGGCAACACAGGAGAGGCATAAAGCTTGCCATTTCCCTATTTTGAGTGCCCCCCCCCCACATTACCTGAGTAGCCACTGCGAGTACGGCTGAAGCTAAAATATGCATTGTAGCCCTCCACTACAGCCAGCGGCTCCTCAAGCAGGTCTCCTAAAAACAAGACAAAAAAAGAAATGTGGACAAAAAGTCAAGGAAGAGGCATTTTGAAGTCCACTTTCTGACATGTAAAAGAATCTCAGGATGCAGAATTAATACATATTGACACCACTTTGACTGTCGTGGTTCAATGCTATGGAACTCTACGACTCATAATTTTACAAGGTCTTTTGCCTTTACTGCCACAGAGGGATGGTGCCTCACCAAGCTACAGCTCCAAGGATCCATAGCATTGAGCCAGGGAAGTCAAAGCGGTGTCAAACTGCATGAATTCTACATTGTAGATGCACCCCCAGTCTGTATTCAGAGTTTATTTTCAAAGGATCTCAAGTACTAAAAGTACCATATATTCTGGCATAGGAGATTACTTTTTCACCCAAGAAAATTTTCTCAAAAGTCAGGGGTCGTCTTATACGTGGGAGTCGTCTTACACGCAGGAGTAGCCTTATGCATGGGAGTTGTCTTATATGTGGGAGTAATCTTATAGGTCTGGAGTCGTCTTATATATCTGTGGCGGGTGCTGAAACTTCCACTCCGAATCTGTGGTTGCTGCATATGGTGGGGGGAGCTCAAAAATGGCAGTGGCCGCGTCCCTAACATATGCCACAACTGTATGAAAGCATTAAGGGCTACGCTGTACAAGAATGGTAGAATAATAATAAACCTTTATTTGTACCCCGCTACCATCTCCCGAAGGTGTGGAGAAGAGCAAACCACTGATCACCTGCTGCAATGCAACCTGAGCTCAGCCACATGCACAATGGAGGACCTCCTTGCGGCAACATCAGAAGCACGCCAAGTGGCCAGATACTGGTCAAAGGACATTTAATCAACTACCAAGCTTGCAAACTTTGTATTTTGTTTGTTTGTTTGTTAAAAAATGCAATATAACTGTTATTTATTTATTTATTTACTTTGCTTCTATACTGTGAAGACATCTGCCCTTGCGCTGTGCTACTCTGCTGCTGAGTATGCATGCCCAGTGTGGAACACATCTCACCACACTAAAACAGTGGATGTGGCTCTTAATGAGACATGCCGCATTATCACGGGGTGTCTGCGCCCTACACCACTGGAGAAATTACACTGCTTAGCCGGTATTGCACCACCTGGCATCCGCCGGGAAGTAGCAGCCAATAGTGAAAGGACCAAGGCAGAGACATCTCCAGCTCATCCCCTGTTTGGGTATCAGCCAGCACGCCAACGACTTAAATCTAGACATAGTTTTCTAAGATCTACAGAGACACTCGCTGGAACACCTCAGCAAGCGAGAGTCCAAAAGTGGCAGGCTCAAACCCAGCACCTCAACCAATGGCTGATACCAAACGAGAGACTCCCTCCTGGGCACACAGAAGACTGGGCGACTTGGAAGGCACTGAACAGACTGCGCTCTGGCACCACGAGATGCAGAGCCAACCTCAAGAAATGGGGCTACAAAGTGGAATCCTCGACATGCGAGTGTGGAGAAGAGCAAACCACTGACCACCTGCTGCAATGCAACCTGAGCCCTGCCACATGCACAATGGAGGACCTTCTTGCAGCAACACCAGAAGCACTCCAAGTGGCCAGATACTTGTCAAAGGACATTTAATCAACTACCAAACTCACAAATTGTGTATTTTTCTGTTTGTCTGCTTTGTTCTGTTAGACTGGTTGTTCTGACACGACAAATAAACAAATAAATAAATATACCGCTGTTCTCAGCCCGAAGGCGACTCACAGCGGTTCACAAGACACAGAACACAGCAGAATTCAACACCAATATAAAACAGTTAACAACCTAATCTAATATACAATTCATACACAATTACTATGATAACCATTCATTGGCGTCTCGTCACTAAAAACATGATCCAAATTCTTCATCCATTGTTCCATTCCTATGTCATTACCAGTCTTTGCACTAATTATTCGAACGCCTGCACAAATAACCAGGTCTTTACTTTTTTGCGGAAGACCATTAGAGATGGTGCTAATCTAATATCTTTGGGAAGGGCGTTCCACAGCCGGGAAGCCACCACCGAGAAGGCCCTGTCTCTCGTCCCCGCCAGCCGCGCTTGTGAAGCTGGCGGGATCGAGAGCAGGGCCTCCCCGGAAGATCTCAAAGTTCTGGTGGGTTCATAGGCCGAGATGCGGTCGGAAAGGTAGCTTGGGCCGGAACCGTTTAGGGCTTTAAAGGTCAACACCAGCACTTTGAATTGAGCCCAGTAGCAACTCGGCAGCCAGTGGAGTTGGCGCAACAGGGGGGTTGTATGCTCCCTGCGTCCCGCTCCTGTTAGTATCATGGCTGCCGAGCGTTGGACTAGTTGAAGCTTCCGAGCTGTCTTCAAAGGCAACCCCACGTAGAGAGCGTTGCAGTAATCTAGGGGGGATGTAACCAGAGCGTGGACTACCGTGGCCTGACTTGGCTTGACTTCCCAAGGTACGGGCGCAGCTGGCGCACAAGCTTTAGCTGTGCAAATGCTCCCCTGGTCACCGCCGAAACCTGGGGTTCCAGGCTCAGCGATGAGTCCAGGGTCACACCCAAGCTGCGAACCTGAGTCTTCAGGGGGAGTGCGACCCCATCCAACACAGGCTGTAACCCTATACCCTGTTCGGCCTTGCGACTGACCAGGAGTACCCCTGTCTTGTCTGGATTCAATTTCAATTTGTTTGCCCTCATCCAGACCGTCACAGCGGCCAAGCACCGGTTCAGGACCTGAACAGCCTCCTTAGTAGCAGGTGGAAAGGAGTGACAGAGTTGGACATCATCTGTGTACAGATGGCACCGTACCCCGAAACTCCAGGTGATATCCCCCAGCGGCTTCATGTAGATGTTAAACAACATGGGAGACAGAATTGAACCCTGTGGAACCCCACAAGACAACGGTTGTGAGATTGAACAGGTGTCTCCCAATAACACCTTCTGGGAACGGCCCTCCAGGAATGACCAGAGCCACTGTAAGACAATTATCATCCAGATGATGTGGTCTGAACTGGATTATATGGCAGTGTAGACTCATATAACCAAAAGCAGCTAGTGTGGATTATCTACTTTGACAATCTGGATTCTATGGCCGTGTAGATCCATCCTCGGTGGAACCTTGCATTTTGTGGGTTTTGTTGTTTTCCTGTTTCTTCTGTTACTACATTTCACCTGGGAGTTGTTTGTTTGTTGTTTTGCAATCAAGAATATGCACTTTTGCTTACATATCAGAGCTGGCATTGCAACAGGGTGCGTGAGTGTGTGTGAGAGAGAGAGCAAAAACGTCAGGAGGCCCTGACTCACGTGTAATCTTGGTCTCCTGCAGGCAGATGACGTCAGCCCCCAAGGCGTCCAGGAGCGGCTTCAGCCCCGCGGCCCCCGCGCCCGCCCGCAGCCCGTTCACGTTCCAACTGAGCAGCCGCATCGCGGGCAAAGCGAGGACAAGCCAGCCCTGACGTCACTTCCGCCCCCTCCGAACGCGCCAAGAAGGAGGCGGAGAAGCACTTCCGGTTTGGATTGGAATCCGCTCCAGCCAGGGAAACAGTGTACCGAATAGTAAGCTATCCATGAGAGTTTCAATCACGATCGGGCTTGAATCATTTTATACACACACACACACACACACACAATATTACTTGCCAAGGGGTTGCTTTTGCATCGTTATACCCCTACACACACACACAGTTCTGCTAGAAAAGAAATTCTGGGTGGCAAACAGGTTCCTTTTCAGTTTCATAGAACCAAAGAGTTGGAAGAGACCTCATGGGCCATCCAGTCCAACCCCCTGCCAAGAAGCAGGAATATTACATTCAAATCACCCCTGACAGATGGCCATCCAGCCTCTGTTTAAAAGCTTCCAAAGAAGGAGCCTCCACCACACTCCGGGGCAGAGAGTTCCACTGCTGAACGGCTCTCACAGTCAGGAAGTTCTTCCTCATGTTCAGATGGAATCTCCTTCTTGTAGTTTGAAGCCATTGTTCTGCGTCCTAGTCTCCAAGAAGCAGAAAACAAGCTTGCTCCCTCCTCCCTGTGGCTTCCTCTCACATATTTATACATGGCTATCATATCTCCTCTCAGCCTTCTCTTCTTCAGGCTAAACATGCCCAGCTCCTTAAGCCGCTCCTCATAGGGCTTGTTCTCCAGACCCTTGATCATTTTATTCGCCCTCCTCTGGACACATTCCAGCTTGTCAATATCTCTCTTGAATTGTGGTGCCCAGAATTGGACACAATATTCCAGGTGTGGTCTAACCAAGGCAGAATAGAGGTAGCATTATTTCCCTAGATCTAGACCAGTGGTTCTCAACCTTGCTAATGCCGTGACCCCTTAATGCAGTTCCATATGTTGTGGTGACCCCCAACCGTAATATTGTTTTTGTTGCTACTTGATACCTGTCATTTTACTACTGTTATGAACGATAATGTAAATATCTGATATGCAGCATGTATTTTCATTCACTGGACTAAACTGAGCACAAATGCCCAATATGCCCAAATGTGAATGCTAGTGGGGGAGGATTGATTTTGTAATTTGGGAGTTGTAATTGCTGGGATTTATAGTTCACCTATAATCAAAGAGAATTCTGAAGTCCACTAGCAATGGATTTAAACCGAACTTGGCACACAGAACTCCCATGACCAACAGAAAACACTGGAAGGGTTTTGTGGGCATTGACCTTGAGTTTGGGAGTCGTAGTTCACCTATATCCAGAGGAGTGCTGTGGATTCATGCAACGATGGATCTGGACCAAACTTAGCATGAATACTCCATATGCCCAAATGTGAACACTGGTGGAGTCTGGAGAAAATAGACCTTGACATTTGGGAGTTGTAGTTTTTGGGATTTATAGTTCACCTACAATCAAGGAGCATTCTGAACTCGACCAACAATAGAATTGGGTCAAACTTCCCACACAGAATCCCAATGATCAACAGAAAATACGATGTTTTCTGATGGTCTTTGGCGACCCCTTTGACACCCTCTCACAACCCCCTCAGGGGTCCCGACCCCCAGGTTGAGAAACACTGATCTAGACACCATTGGCTTTTTTTGCCGCCACATCACATTGTTGGCTCATGTTTAACTTGTTGCCCACGAGGACTCCAAGATCTTTTTCACACGTACTGCTCTCAAGCGAGGCATTGTCCCCCATTCTGTATCTATGCATTTCGTTTTTTTCTGCCTAAGTGGAGTATCTTGCATTTGTCACTGTTGAACATCATTTTGTTAGTTTTGGCCCATCTCTCTAATCTGTCAAGATCGTTTTGAATCCTGCTCCTGTCCTCTGGAGTATTGGCTATCCCTCCCAATTTGGTGTCGCCTGAAAACTTGATGATCATGCCTTCTAGCCCTTCATCTAAGTCATTAATAAAGATGTTGAACAGGACCGGGCCCAGGACAGAACCCTACTTGTGGCACTCCGCTCGTCACTTCTTTCCAGGATGAAGAGGAAGCATTGGGGAGAATCACCCTCTGGGTTCGTCCATTTAACCAATTACAGATACACCTCACTAGTTTTGCCTAGCCCACATTGGACTAGTTTCTTTGCCAGAAGGTCATGGGAACTTTGTCGAAGGCCGTACTGAAATCCAGGTACGCTACATCCACGGCATTCCCCGCATCTATCCAGCTTGTAACTCTCTCGAAAAAAGAGATCAGATTCGTCTGGCATGACTTGTTTTTGATAAATCCGTGTTGACTATTCGTGATGACCGCATTTGTTTCTAAGTGTTTGCAGACCACTTCCTTAAAAATCTTTTCCAGAATCTTGCCTGGTATCAACGTGAGTTTGGCCCCATCTACACTGCCATAGACAGACTTTGACTGTGTGGATCATAACAAATTGTGGCAAGTTCTTGGTGGTATGGGCATACCAAATCACCTTATTTATTTATTTGCAGCATTTATATTCTGCCCTTCTCACCCCGCAGGGGACTCAGGGCAGATTACAGTGTACACATATATGGCAAATATTCAATGCCAATTTTGACATACTACATATACAGACATACACAGAGGCTATTTAACTTTTTCTGGCCGCGAGGGGAGCTGTCATTTCCATCGTCCATCTGCGACACTGATGAAGTACTTCCTCATTCCCCGCATGCTTTTTTGCTGGAGTACTTTGCTGGAGTCTTTCCTATGGCGTCATAAATTAGTTAATTTAGGCTCCCCACACTTTAAGGTGGTACCTAATTTTCCTACTTGACAGATGCAACTGTCTTTCAGGTTGCAAAAGTCGACAACAGGCTACACAATTGGTTGGAAACCCACTCCAACCCGGGCTGGCTTCAAACTCATGACCTTTTGGTCAGAGTGATCTTAATGCAGCTGACACTCAGCCAGCTGCGCCACAATCCCGGTGCAATCACCTTGTCTCTCTCCTGAGGAATCTGTATAAGGACCAAGTAGCAACAGTAACAAGTGACCATGGAACAACAGACTGGTTCAAGATTGGGAAAGGCGTACGGCAGGGTTGGATACTCTCACCCGACCTATTCAACTTGTATGCAGAACACATCAGGTGCGGTGCAGGGCTTGATGAATGCAAGACGTGTGGCAGGGTTGTACTCGTAGTCCAAGGATGATGGTCCTCCAAGTGTAGTATCCAGGCGGTGAGTCTGTAGGTGACTGTGGAGCCCTATTCTTGACTTGCATCTTCTCCCGCAGTGAGGGCCTCGGTTTCCAGGTCGAAGGCGGTCCCGGTCAGGGTTGGCTTAGCGCGCCTTCCTCTTGGCACGTTTCTCTCTTTCGTCCTCCATTCGTGCCTCTTCAGATTCTACAGCACTGCTGGTCACAACTGGAGCGCTCAAGGGCCAGGGCTTCCCAGTTCTCAGTGTCTATGCCAGAGTTTTTAAGGTTGACTTTAAGCCCATCTTTAAATCTCTTTTCCTGCCCGCCAACATTCCATTTTTCGTTCTTGAGTTCGGAGTAGAGCAACTGCCTCAGGAGACGGTGCTCGGGCATCCGGACGATGTGGCCGGTCCAGTGGAGTTGAGGGTGGAGGGCCATCGCTTCAATGCTGGTTGTCTTTGCTTCTTCCAGCACACTGACATTTGTCCGCTTGTCTTCCCAAGAAATTTGCAGGACTTTTAGGAGGCAGCGCTGATGGAATTGCATGAGTTGCATGTGACTTCTGTAGACAGTCCACGTTTCGCAGGCATATAGCAGGGTTGGGAGGACAATAGCTTTATAGACAAGCACCTTGGTATCCCTATGGATGTCCCGGCCCTCAAACACCCTCTGCTTCATTCGGAAAAAAGCTGCACTCGCAGAGCTCAGGCGGTGTTGAATTTTAGTGTCAATGTTGACTTTTCTGGAGAGGTGGCTGTCAAAGTAGCAGCAGGGTTGTATCCTCTCACCCAACCTATTCAATTTGTATGCAGAACACATCATGCGATGTGCGGGGCTTGACAAATGCAAGGCTGGGGTTAATATTGCTGGAAGAAACATTAACAACCTTAGATATGCAGATGACACCACTTTGATGGCCAAAAGCAAGGAGGAACTGAGGAGACTTCTAACCAAAGTGAAAGAAGAAAGTGCAAACGCTGGGTTGCAGTTAAACATAAAAAAACCAAGATCATGGCAACTAGACTGATTGATAACTGGCAAATAGAGAAAATGTGGAGGCAGTGACAGGGTTTGTATTTCTAGGTGCAGAAAACCTGGGATCAGATCCTGGAATATAGGGCCTGTCTGGAAGGACCCTTTGGGGCTTCTATGTTTGCTTTACTAGGGCCCCTTCTACACAGCCATATCCAGATTATCTACTTTGATCCAGATTATATAGCAATGTAGACTCATATAACTCAGTTCAAACAAGAATGTGGATTATCTGCTTTGAGTCCTGGGGGGGTCACCTCTAATATCACCTGCTCTACACAAAAGACCCAGGTGTGCTTACCTGCCAGTTGTGTACAATCCTTATGTTCCATGGAAAATCTATGGTTGAGTCATTCATTTGATTGTAGTGGCAACAGGAAGCCTGCAGGAAAAATTCCTCCACTCATTTAATAGGGGATTCTCCAGAAATCCCACCGTCCTGAAGAGCCCGGTCCCTCTTTGAGTGCCTTCCACTCTACTCTGCTGTGAGGATAATATTACTGCTGACCTTTCTATCACAGCCACATGGATCCTTTTGGAAAGACTCCTGGATAGTTTTGCCTCTGGCTCGTAGCTGCTGTGAATAACACCCCCAGCTTGAAACCTGACCCTGGTGGAAATCCTCCTTGCTTTCTGCCGGGTGTAATGACATGGCAGATCCCCCCTACACCGTGTCTTCTAGCAAATAGGGAAGGCCGAGCAGCAATGGAGGAAAAAACAGCCAAAATCCCAGGTAGGGACATCCAAGGGACAGCAGCAAGGCTGACACAGCTAGAGATTTTGGGAAAAGCTTCAGAGTCTAGGCGGGGAAACTTGTCACTTTATAAATAGACAAAATGATCCTTTATTCAGGCAGCATATCTGTGTCATTACGGCAGAAA